GTCTTGTCTCTTCTCACAATTCAAGTTCCTAGAATCAACCCACCCGCGCCTGCAACATGGCTTCATCCCAGAGGTCGCAATCGGATACCCGTACCCTACCCGATACCCGGCCGAGTACGGGTAGCCGGGTATCGGGTAGGGTACGGGTACCCGTTTTCGACCCTGGTGCGGCCGGGTACGGGTAGGCCGTGAGTCACTGGTGAGTCACCGTTTGTCACTCATTTCCCAACGTCTTGTCTCTTCTCACAATTCAAGTTCCTAGAATCAACCCACCCGCGCCTGCAACATGGCTTCATCCCAGAGGTCGCAATCGGGTACCCGTACCCTACCCGATACCCGGCCGGGTACGGGTAGCCGGGTATCGGGTAGGGTACGGGTACCCGTTTTCGACCCTGGTGCGGCCGGGTACGGGTACGGGTAAGGAATCAAACCCCGTTTGCGACCTCTGGCTCAGAAACAATCGCAAGTCGCCGTTATAGCTGTGGATGCGAGGAGTCGAACCCGGGTTGCCTGAGGCTGCCCTATCCGCTGCGCCACCCCTCCCCAAACGCGCGCGCGCACAATCACGAACGCATCTCTGGAGGAAATGGCTTGAAGCCACGAAACCTCAGAGACTCACCATTACGTGGGTCGCCTGTAGTTGTTTTTTTCCAGTCGAGGCTTAGGGCGCGTCCCGTGTGGCCGGGCAACGTTGGCTACGTACGTGCCCCCCCCCCCCCCCCCCCCCCACTAATCCAGCACTGCGGGTGGAAGGTTGGTGGATCAGCTCGCTGCGTCGCGAAACTCCATTGCCGTGGACATCGAGGCACCGCCGGCATGATGCAGTCGAGCAAAGTGTGGGTTAGTGTAGTCCGTCACTTCTGTTTGGGATAGAGTGTGCCCCCCTCTCTCCGCCCTGTCGCGTGCGCGGAGTTTCCACGCAGTCGCGCAGTATAAACGCTCGCCGCTCGTTGGCTGAAAACATCTTAACACATAGAGAACCGCAGAGCGGCCGTTCGGCGCTGGCTGCCTTCCAGCTTGGTCCGTGGTACCTGCACAGCGGTTGTGCGACGTGATTTGCGCGAGCAGCGTCAACATTCATCGTACACAACGAATCATTCGATTCGTGTTGTTGTTGTTGTGAAGATTAGTGAGTTCGCCTCTGCATTCACAGCTCTCCGATTTGCTCAACAGGCGTTCCACTCGTCTCAAGGTACGTTCGTGTGCTCGCGAACAGAGGCTCGCTAACGGCACTTGCCCCGACAGGGTGTCGAAGGCTATACGTGCGATATTTGTCTTTGTTTCTATGTATGTGTGGGTAGGGGGTGGTGCTTAACGCACTGCGATCACGAACCCACCGGCCTGACTTGAATCGCCTGCCAAGGCGAACGTCTTCTTGGTTCTTTCGGTAAAGTCACGTAGAATGGAAATAATAAAATAATAAAAATAAAACATAATAAAATAATTCTCACGATGTTTCGGCCACAACGCAATCAGCCGTCCTCAGGTGAAGAACAGGTCCGTCGAGAAGACAGAGTCTGAATGAAACACCGCCAGGCTTGGAGCGTCTTTTTTAAGCTGGGTTGGAGGGGGGAGAGCGCCTTGACAAAAAAATTTGCACAACAAGAGGAATTTAGCATATTTATGGGAAATGCAGATATGCGATTAGTACTACTTGTGAAATGCGTAGGAAGTTTGGCGAGGGGTTTAAAGTCATTCTCCCGTGCATTATGCAGGATTAGCAGCATCAAAGGGAGGGGGTATGGGTAGCATTAATAAAAGAAGGAATGTTAATAGTATGTATGATGAATCCCTGCAGTCACGAAAGCTTTAAATCGAAATTTAAGGCGAACGTCGTTGGCGACTGATACCTGAACGGGTACTGGGCCCCCCCTGAGTTCCTCCTGGTGCGGTGTGGAAGCGTCAGCATTGGGGAGGCAAAGGCGGCCGGGCGTGTTTCTGGCCGCACCAGCTGCCTGTACGTGAGTCTGTTGGGTTTCGGAGGCGCTCGCTCACAGCGCTTGGCCGAAACGTCAGGGGGTTGTTATACGGGGGGGGAGGGGGGGCTCTTTGTCGTATCTAAAGTATGGTTTTGTGTGCTTGTAGGTCTTGATGTTATTATTATTATTTTTATGTAATCATCAGCCATGGTCAATCCACTGTTAGATGAATACCGTACCCCCCCCAAACCCTTCACCATCTCTCAGCTTCATGAACAAGAACACTCACGCACGCTTCATGAACAAGAACACGCACGCACGCTTCATGAACAAGAACACGCACGCACGCTTCATGAACAAGAACACGCACGCACGCTTCATGAACAAGAACACGCACGCACGCTTCATGAACAAGAACACGCACGCACGCTTCATGAACAAGATACACTCACGCACGCTTCATGAACAAGAACACGCACGCGCCAAATGCAATGGACGTTCGTCCAGCTGGAGGCGCGCACAGGAGCACGGTGTAGCCCGTGCGCTGTATGAACCCCGACTGTTGAGTAAATATTTCCCCGGAGAGAGCCCAGTGGGTTGCAGGCCGTGATCGCCGTCGTCTTCGGGAAAGGACGCGGCTCACGGAGACAGCGAGAGAGATACGTAACTAGTAAAGCGGCAATCGAAGTCTGATCATACGCTGAATTGCGCGTGTTGAGCTGAAGCGAACACGTTTTGTTCTTAACGTAACATACATCATTGTTCATGATGTATAAAGTCAGTGAGTTTCTGCTCAAATGAGCATTCGAGCGGTGCTCAGCTCCTGTCGACAGCCCTGAGTCAGCGGTGCAAATTCTACATTCCTATGGCAGGGGCCGAGTACATTCCATAGGACAGCCGCTGTTGACTTCCCTGCCAAAGCAGTACCCATTGTATCGACCCCGGAGCGAGGGATGATGGGGCGGGTCAACCGCCGCAACTAAGATTTAAACTCGCGACTACTAAACGCGAGCCGCTCGTTCTAATCGCTAAGCCACGTGACCGATTATACAATAAGACAAAACCAAAAATGTTGTCTTATAATATTAAACGGGATGATTGATCATAATTGACCGAAATAACCAAGAAGATGAATCCCTGCAGTCACGAAAGCTTTAAATCGAAATTAATGATTGATCATAATTGATCATTTTAAAAAAATCATCGTTTGTTTACGTGCTTTTTTGTCGTTGTAAATAAATATAAATGCGGCGGTTAGCGCTCCGTGCTCTGCACCGGGCGACTTGAGTTTGATTCCAGGCCACGGACAAAATCCGTGGAAAGTGTTTCTCTGACCGCATCGTGGCTTCCACCCCTTAAGCAACCCGCACAACTCACCCCGCCGTGACGAGGTTTGGTCAAACACAAGGCCGTAGCCGTGGAGTCAACATTGGGGGGGACCAAATCTTCCAGGGGGTCTGGGGTCTCCCCCTAGAGAAAAAAAAACCTAAATTTGAAAACGAATTTCCTGCCATTTCCAGAGTAAATATTAAAAAATTCACTAACACATGGGATGGACTTTTTTTATTTTTTACAATAATGTCTAATAGTGTATTGTATTACATTGCTCTGTTTTTTCTTTTTTACCTTTTCTTGTTTCATTGTATGTAATGGCAGAGATTAGGGATTAATAAAGTACAACCATAACCACAATCATATAAACAGAAATCTATTTTATTGCAATATATTGTGGGGGGGGGGGGGCATTTTGAGCATATTTGAATATTGGGGGGGGTGTGTCTTGATCAAACAGCCCCCCCCCCCCCCCCATGAACAAAAGAGGCTTGCGGAAGCCTTAATCCAGCAGCGGGTTGACAAACGTCTGTAATTGACTGTTATTCGTATTATTCATTTTAATATTGTTACATTTACAAACATGCAGATTGGTTTTCGAGAAGCGTTGCCTGAAAACGTGTTTCCACTTTTGGCGGACTTTTGTTGAAGAAAATAAAATAAAAACACCAAGATTTTAAACAAACGCGGCTATCATTGGGAAAAAAAATCTCACAAGAGCACTGTCGTGTTGGAAACAATATCATTATAATAAAAAATAAAGCTCGGTTTATAATGCGCGCACATACATTTCACGGATCGGACCAGTGTTCGATCGAGAAGTCGGAGGCGTGGAGCCAGAGCTCAAAGTCCCCCGTACTGAGCCTGAACAGTTGAGCCTGAACAGTTGAGCCTGACATGCTTAGAGCCTGAACATACGAGAACCTGAACACGTGAGAGACAGAACCGTTGAGAGTATTTCGCTACTGCCACGGTTACTGTCGCCCTGAACTTTACTTATTGATTCCACCACCCGTGCTGACGACTCGGTGCAGCAGACGCAGACTATTGCGTTTCGTTCATCACACCGTGTTCAACCACCACACTCTGCACGTACAACACACTCACTCACCCAACCACTCACCCACTCACTCACCCACTCACTCACCCACTCACTCACTCACCCACCCACTCACCCACTCACTCACCCACTCACCCAACCGCTCACCCACTCACTCACTCAACCAACCACTCACCCACTCACCCAACCACTCACCCACCCACTCACCCAACCACTCAACCACTCACCCACCCACCCACTCACCCAACCACTCACTCACCCAACCACTTACTCACCCACTCACTCACCCAATCACTCAACCACTCACCCACCCACTCACCCAACCACTCACTCACCCAACCATTTACTCACCCACTCATCTACTTACGCACTCACATACTCAAAATTCACTCGCCACACTGCAGGTCACCTCCCCGTTCTCCCCGCTTCTTTGCTCGCATCGCTTCACGTTGGATTTCCCTCCTCCCATCATCACCATCATCATCGTAGTCGTCTAGTTCCCCCGAACCTCTCACGATAACAACCCTCTCTCAATTCAAGAAGCGTGCTACACTCTGTATCTATGAACACCTTCCGTGCGCAGCTCTTTCATTGTTTGCTGGCCCGCTTGGCCCTTTTGGGCCTGCGCTACGTAAAAAAAAGTGTTTTTTCAACAACAAAAAAACGTCTCGTTGGCAGGACGACCCTTAGTCAGCGGATGCCGAGCAGAGCCATGAGAGCAGTCGTGGCGGCGGCGGTGGTGCCAGCCGGTACCCAGCGGCGGCGATGGTGGTGGTGGTGGTGTTGGGTCGCGGTCGTGGCTGCATCTCAGCTCGCCCAGGGCACGCCGGGCGCCGCGTGCAACACGGACTGCTCCTGCACTCGGGGTGGCATCGTCACCTGCAATTACAAGCGACTGCGAGGGTTCCCCGCCGGCTTGCCCGAAAACACAACCAGTCTGGACCTGAGCAACAACCTCCTGGGCAGCAACCTCGACGCCACGGGTCTCTCCTCCCTCCGGTTCCTGCAGAAGCTCTGGCTCAACAAAAACGCGCTGCGCACGATCCCAAGCGGAGCCTTCCAGACCCTGAGACACCTCCAGATGTTGGATCTGCAGTTCAACGACCTGACGCATGTCGGCGTGGAGGCGTTTAAAGGGCTTTCGTCCCTGAAGTTCCTTTACTTGCAGAACAACCGCTTGGAGAGCCTGCCCGCCGGAACGTTGGACCACCTGCAGGGCTTGCGAGAGATCCACCTGGACAAGAACGAGTGGAACTGCGGCTGCGGGGAGATCCTCTATCTGAGCAATTGGATCAGGGACCACGGCAAGTTGGTGATGAACCGCTTCATGGCCAACGAACCGAGGAACGTGACCTGCTTCAAGAGTTCCAGGCCCGTGATGGACATCGTTGCCGCTGCTGATGTCACCGCCGATGGGTGCAGCGATGTTCGCGTGACGTCTCAAGAAACGACGACGACGAAGACGACGAAGACGACGAAGACGACGAAGAAGACGACGACGTCCACGACAAACAGGAGGAAGGGGGAAGCAACAGCCACCCCCAGGAGGTCACCAGCGAGCAGTGGCAGCGGCTGCGAGACGCACGGGGTGGGAGTGGTGGGGGTGGTGGTGAGCGCGCTCGTCTCCCTGCGCCTCTATCTGATTTGAATGCACGGCACCCTCTCGTCGTCGTCGTCGTTGGTGTTGTTGTTGTTGCTGCCATAATGAAGATGACAAACAGAGAAGAATGGGCTTCGTTGCACTTTCTGGAGGGTGTTCAGATGCTCGAATGCCAAATAGACACCGATTATCGCAAGGCATGACAACGTTGCCTTGCGATGTAAAACACGCATGCACACAAACGCGTTTTTGTGTAATGTGCGCATTGTAAGCGTCGTCTATTTAGTGTTCGAACATCTTAACACCTCCGGTATTCATCTTCTTAGTTCTTTCGGTAAAGTCGCGTAGAAGGGAAATAATAAAATAATAAAAATATAAAACGATAAAATTCTCACGACGTTTCGACTGCAACACAAGCAATCATCATCAGGTGTGAAATCCACAGCAATAAAGTTTGTAGAGGAAAAAAACGCCACTTTTTTCAATGTCTTGCTGTGGTTTTCACACCTGATGATGATTGCTTGTGTTGCAATCGAAACGTCGTGAGAATGTTATTGTTTTATATTTGTATTATTTTATTGTTTCCCTTCTATGTGATGACTTTACCGAAAGAACCAAGAATATGAATCCCTGCAGTCACGAAAGCTTTCAATCAAAACCTCCGGTATTACTGCCAGAAAGGGTAACGCCTCGCCACTTGTTGATGATTTCATTCCGTTCACCGGGGGCTCTGCAGCCCATCACCACCAGCAGCATCATCCTCATCAGCAGCCACGATCTATCCACTGCTAGACGAAGCCCCCCCAACCCCCCTCGTCACAAGCCGCGTCGCCGTCTCTCGCGATCGATTTTGCAAAGCCACAATCCCTCCCGGCGCCGAACACGCGACAGAGCTGATCCCTCGCTCCATCTCCTCGATGGACGTCCACTCTAGCACGAGGGGGTCATCCCAGGGTTGCAGCTGCTGCTGCTGCTGCTTCGTCGGTAGTGAGAATCAGAATATTTATTTATACGCTGCAGGAATCCGATGAGCTATGAAGCTCTTCATCACACACGTGTCCGGTAGGGGCGAGGGTAAGAATGTTACAACAACAAACGGCACCAAAAAGCACGGCAGTGACTTCCCCGTCATCCCGTTCAGCCGCGACGCGTCCTGCCTCGTGCAAGACCCGCTCAGTTGTCTCAGTAGCGAATGCGTCCCAAGAGCAAAAATTACACGGAGCAATTCAAGGAAATTGTGGAGAGACGCACGCGTGGAGTTAGACCGAGCGGCAGCTGAGAGGAACACACACGCGGGTGAGTGACATCATCTCCCGCAGTGCTCATACAACAACAACAATAAACGATAATTGTTTTTTTACCCTTCTATCTGGCAACAAAACTGACACCTTTTTTTACAAGGAGTCATGTTTGCATAGACCACAATACCTGCAGTCATAATGCAAACAAAAAACATAACTCTGATAATGTATGCACTGTCCTTGAAGTTAATTGGTCCACACCCGAGACAGCTTTCCTTAGAGCCTAGTCTCACATGGGTTGGACCAGATGACGCCTTTTGGCGTCATCTGGTCCAACCCATGTGTCAGTTTTGTTGCCAGATAGAATGGTAAAAAAACAATTATCATATTTTTTACTGGCAAATGAGGTTCCAATGGAACAATAAACGAGTGAGACTTGGGCAGGGAGACGCGTCGTCACGGCCAGAAGAGACTCGGGTGGTCGAGAATCATGAACGGAGAGCGGCAGCCGAGGAATGCAGCGCGTCCGGGACGATGTCGGGACCACCGTGGAGGAGACGGAGGGACGAGGGAACGGAATCGTCGCTCCTCGCGTGCAGAGCGGTGACGGGCGGATCGCGACGGCGACTTGGGAGGGATGGAAGCCTTCATCCAGCAGTGGATCGATCACGGCTGGTGGAGCAGACAAGACATCGAGTGGAGCTGTCGAGGTTCAGAGCTATCGACGCAGTAGCCCTTCGGCTCGGTCAAGGTTCACCACCGCGAAAATGCGGCTCAAGCGTTTCCATTAATTACGTGTTTTTTTATAGTTTAGTTATATATAGTATAAACACATATACTCTATATTCTTGGTTCTTTCGGTAAAGTCACGTAGAAGGGAAATAATAAAAGAATATAAATATAAAAAATGTTGTTTTATATTTGTATTATTTTATATAAATATAAAAAAATGTTTTATATTTTTATTATTTTATATAAGTATTAAAAAAATGTCGTAGATTTTTTTTATTTTATTATTTCCCTTCTACGTGACTTTACCGAAAGAACCAAGAATATGAATATCTGCAGTCAAGAAATCTTTAAATCACATATACTCTCTTTGTTCTTTCGGTAAAGTCGCGTAGGTATAAAATAAAATGAATCACGACGTTTCGGGCGCAACACACGCGTCCGTTTGTGTGTGCGCCCGACACGTCGTGATTTATTTTATTTTCTACCTACGTGACTTTACCGAAATAACCAAAGAGTATGATTCATGGAGTCACGAAAGCTTCAAATTAAGATATAGTTTTCTCGTGGCTTTGAACCTAAACGTTATTGTATTGCGTTTCATTTTAGCGTACACTGCTTTTTGATACACCCTTGAGTGGACGTGCTATTGCATTTTAAGTAAGTACGGTTTACGATTTATATATTTTTGTATTTTTTTTATCCTTTAAAGGTAACGCACACGACGCTGTTGAACGTGTTGCGTTGAGTAGATAATTGTGCACCACTGTTAACGGAGCACCATCAGCAGTTGATCAGTGTCATTAATGCTTTTAATTCTATATATTTGAGAAAATTCCCGTGATGGTATTTCCACATCTCACGGAGTCTGCACGCTTACCGTCCGTCGTTATAATCTCGGATGAATCAATGTCCACCCTTTAACTACCTGAGTTTATGATTACATTTTGTTTTAATGTAAAGCGCTTCGGTGCGATCTTACTTGTGAAATACCGTGAGACTAAAATTTAAAAAAAAAAGTTTATAAAACAATAAAAACACATTTTAATACCTTAACAGCGTCATTTCTAAATTTCGCAACAACAACAACAACAAGTCACCTCGAGACATTTCGCGAGTTTCGGGTCTCGTGGCAATGAACGAGAAAATCGCCGTTCGCCAGGCGAGGCGGCACGCTGCGTGTGCACGACCCGTGACGCCGACGCGTTCGCGAGGCTTTGATCGGCAAGAGGAAGAGGCCCCGTGACGCGGGCTGTTTCACATCGGCCCGTTGCAGAATTAGCGCTCGCAATGAGCGCTTTGTCGCTGCTGGCAGGAGGAAGTCACGGGACAGACAGACCCATGCGGCTCGGAGTTGACTGACTGAGATGACTGGCAGGATGCACCGCCTGCGTTCCCGACTGTGACGACTCGTAAAGGCGCACGCGCGCGCACACACACACAACAAAGATCTCCCGTGTAGCCTTAACAGACTGTAGGGGCAAGTGCTGTTAGCGAGCACCTATGAAGGACGGAACGGTACACGAGGAGGGGTGGGTGGCCAGCACCACGGCCGACCGCCTTTGTCTCTCTAGTGGCGATGTTTACACACCGCACCGGGTACTCATTTGAGGTTGAGTCGATCTAGGGGAGGCCCAGGACCGGTTCAGATAATCGTCACTGGTGTTGGCCGTGAGCGGAAATCGAACCCGGGTTGCCAGGTTCATAGCGCAGCGCGCTAACTGCTACACTACCGCTCCCCCCACACATACACACAGACACACACATGCACGCACGCGCACACACACACACACGCGCGCGCACAAAGATAGTTCCTCGATTTGCGTTGCTCCTATTTACGTTGTTTCGGCGAACGTCGCGTTTTTTTATGTTTGCAGAGATACTCACCGGTTACGCGATTCAGCGTGAATAAACTAAATAATAATAATAATGCTAAATATTTTTTTTCAAAAATAAACCGAATAGACGTTCGTCTCCGGAGGGGCACGACACCCATAATGAACGCCGACCGTGTACACACACACAGAGAGACTGCTACCAACTCTACACACAGCGCCCGGCTACTCGGAGTCAGCTACAGACGTTGCTCTGAGAGAGAAGAGAGCGCTTCGTCTTGACCCGTGTCAGTATCTATCGGCCGTTCAAATCGATCTCGAACCTCCTACCCCCTAACACCACCCCCCACCCAACAAGCCGCCAGACACGGACATTTAAAAGTCGTACTCTTTGGTTCGTTCGGTAAAGTCACGGAAGCCTCATGATGTTAATGCTTACCCCGAGCCCTCATACTCTGATGGTGGGTTGTCTTTGAGTTGTGCGCCTTTTGGCGTCATCTGGTCCAACACCATGTGAGACTAGGCTCTAAGAAAAGCTGTCTCGGGTGTGGACCAATCAGATTCAAGAACAGTGCGTACATTATCAGAGTTGTGTTTTTTTGTTTGCATTCTGACCGCAGGTATTGTGGTTAATGCAAAATTGACTCATTGGAAAAAATGTGTCAGTTTATTTTGCCAGAAAAAATGCTTTTAAAAAAACCTATTATCACGGAGGTAGAACAATAAATAAAATAATACAGCACGAGATTTCGATCGCAACACCAGCAAGCGGTCGTCCTCAGGCGGAAAAAAAATCATCCAACAGTGGCACTGCAATTCTGATCCCTGCAGTCACGAAAGCTTCAAATCCAGATTGGTCAGTGCCTGTTTCGTAAAGCCGTTGACGTGGGAGCGTAGGAATACAGTACAACAATGTAGCTTTCTACAATGCCCACCACGTGGTCCCGCAGCAAGCCTATAGCACCTGTTACAAGTAAAGTGGTCGCCCATCCGAGGAACCTTCGAAGGCTCCAACTTGCTTTTGCTTCCAAGATCTGACCCGCCCATAATGGACATCTGCGGTGAAGAGCTTCATAGCTCATCGGATTCCTCATGCAGTCTAAATACGGATTCTGATTCTGAAAAAGTCGATCCGATTCTGGAAAATGCAAATGGGAGGGAGGGAGCAGGGGAGGGGAGTGGTGGCCTTTAAGAGCAGCACCCTGTGTCACCCCACCGCAGGCAGGGAGACTTCGCGAGACGTTCGCCTCCCAACGACGTCAATCAGTTTCAGTTTTAAGTTTCATTGATTAGGTATAGCCCTGTGAGACATTTGGTTCTTGAATCCGGTGCAACCGCAACAGACAAAAAACTAAAACATGAACAAGAAAACATCTTAAAGTGACTATGCGCAAACAGAAAAATCCAGGAAAAAACTGCAAAATCTCAATAATCGCGTGCGCACAATTCCACCTCCACCCCCCCCCCCCAACAGCAGCAGAACGCGAACTTACTCAGAAATAGCCACGGGGAGCGGTGGGGTGGTGGTGGGGGAGTTTAATAACAAACAAAAAACTCAAAAAATATCGGCGGTACGATCGCCCATCCACGCTTTGCTCGGCTATGAAACACAAACCCGGCTATGAAACACCAACTCCCGAAACAGCGTGGTTGGTGGTTGGTGGTGGTGGCGATCATAACGACGACGATCGTAAACTTTGCACGATGAGAATTCGCGTTTCACTGGAGTTCTTCTCACATTCCAATTGCGTATCCAAGCGTCGCGCTCACAACAACAACAACAACAACAAAACGGACAGACATCCCAACGAGGACAAACATAACAACAAACAACAACAACAACAGCAGCAGCAATGACGTCGAAACTGAGCAAGCAAACGTAACGAGAGCCGAGACGCGAGCGAGCGTGGCACCCACAACCGATAGACGGCGGCGGTGGTGGTGATGGTGGCGGTGTCCACGCTGCCCGTGTCGTGGCTGCTGCTGTAGTCCCGCAGTGTGCAGGTAGCAGCGGTGGTTGATGGATCACACACGGATGCTGCGAACGCCTCTCTCTCTCTCTCTCTCCCGTGGGCGTCGAATAGGAGCCGTGCTCTGGCTCGCTCGGAGTACGGCGCTACTGAAAACACGTGGGCTCGTGCGTGGGATCGAGTGTTCCCCCCTCGCACGCGTGGGCTTTTTTTCCGGGTGCTCCGGTTTCCTTAAACGCTCGTTCGTCGTCCAATGACACCTTCACAAGAGGGCCACGCCGCTTTGGCAATCGTCGGTAGCGCCGGCTCGCCCGCCAGGCTGCTTTCCCGTCCGACTGTGGTTCCTCCTCCACAGTCGGGAGACGTCCTCTCTCCACGAGGGTGACGAGCGCGTAGCGGTGCGGTGCGCGACGAGCCGAGATGACGACTCCCGCTGCTGTTACACACGTAGGCACCCGATGTGTGTGGGTGGGATGTAACACGAGCGAAACAGTGCGCGCGATATGCCGCGCTGAGAGAGGGGGGGAGGAGGAGGAGTGCGTGGATTCTCAAGAAGAAGAAGCAGCAACACGCCCGAGCAGACTTTCCCAAACTCTAGTGCTGGCGGAGCACCCACCACGCCACGTCTTGTCCGCGTTCACCTAGTTACTCCCTCCCCAAGGGTTGTCTCCCACACCCGTGTAGACCCTCTCCCCCTACGCTCCTCTTTTCCGCCAACATTTAACATTCTGGGGGGGGATCCCCCCCCCCCAACTCCAATTCCCCTGTCCCCTCTTTTCGCACCTTCCTCGCCAGCGCCCCTTTATTACAAAACACATTCCTGCGGAGGGAGCTGGTAGGAACGTCGGGTTGCTCGATCAATGGCCAGGGTCAACGGCGGCGTGGTGTATTCCACAAATATGGCCGACTGTGAGGGCGGGCACAAGCCGGCGTGAGTAGGTTAAACGTTGAGTTTTATAAGGGCACCACGGGGTGACCAGCCCCTCTCCACCCAGCCCCACCCCTCTCACCCCCCACCCAGTCCTACCCTCTCCACCCAGCCCCTCCCCACCCAGCCCCTCCCCACCCTCCCCTCCCCACCCAGCCCCACCCTCCCCACCCAGCCCCTCCCTCCCCACCTAGCCCCTCACTGCACGACGGACAGACGGACACAATAATCCCCTGTGGGCTGGTGTAACCAGGAGGTTCCTACCAGTAACAAAACAATTCTCTGGCCGTGCGACCCCCACACTCAACCAGTGCCGGATGAAGCGAGTGCGGGGCCTGTAGCGTGATGTTATAAAGGGGCCCTAAATATTAAAAAACACGTAAATATTAAAACACTAATTTTAAAACGTGCACAGTAAAGTGATTGTATTTTTTAATTTGCTATACAGCCAGATAATACGACAAATCGCTAACCTTAAACATCCAGTCGTTCTTAAAAGTTGAAGGCGGTATAGTACTATAGTAATAAAGCAAGTGCAGAATCACTGAACCGGAATTGATAGCTTGAAAGCATTTGGTGCGGGGCCCTTGAAAGTGCGGGGCCCGTAGCTACTCCACATGCACCACCTACATGTGTAGCTACTACACGTGTAGCTACTACACATGCAGCACCTACATGTGTAGCTACAAATGCTACGAGGATAATCCGGCACTAGACTCAACCCTTACCGCACGCTCGCACAAAACTCTGCGGGTCCAGTGTCCTTCGCGATCTGTCCTCGGCGAGGGACACAATAAACGTAACTGCAGGCGGTGCTGGGTGTCTCGTCCTGCTGCTGCTGCTGCGTTTCTTCGATGGCTCCTCGGCAACATTTGATCATCTCCTCCTCCTAGTGTGTAACAATGTCCGTTCATCGCTCCTTCCAAGAAACGTGGGAGCCACGCCAAGCGCGAGACCACAAGCCACGCCGGTCAGCGGGCAGACGACACAGTCCACCCCACCCGGCCAAACCCCTCCACCCCCTGCCCCAACAATCATTGCCGATCGATCGATAGCACGGGCTGTGGTGGTGGTGGGTGGTGGGGGAGTGAGCTGGTTAACGTGGGAAGTTTTTATTTATTGGGAATCTCCTTTGGAACGAGGGCAGCCCAGCCAGTGTCGAATTATCCTCGCAGCAGATAAAGTAGCTACACATGCTACGGGTCCCGCACTTTCAAGGGCTGTTTTACGTCATGATAAAACGGCAAGACAATGTATGGTGAGGGTTTTTATATTCTCTAGGATTTTAAAAAAATTCAGGCAAAAGAATTACATGAATTGTAAAGTTAGAGCGATTTTAAATTAACCGAGTTGGTCAACCGTATTCGCTACTCCCACCTCGTCGGTGTTGCAATCTTATAATAACACTGGTCAACAAAAAAAACTATTTTTTTTCTGGCCTGGACTTTTGCAGCTGTTTTAGACTAATTTCAATGTGCTGATTCCAAATCTGATCTCAGATTTGCTCTATCACATCTCATTTTTATGCTATCGGCATACCCCATTTTCATTGATTTTACCCGAAATTAACTCTGTCACTTATGATGCAAGTTGTTGCGAGTCAGTGACTGCTTTAGTGTTAAAATATGGTGCTGTATTTTTAGGATAGTGTTTTATAATATAATTTTATGTAGATATCCACATTTATTTAATATTTTTCGTCTGCAGTTTTATTGAAAATGCAATATTTGATATCTCAAAAACCTGATGTGATAGACAAAAACTGATGCCAGATTTGGAATCAGCACCCCAAAAAAATTGCATGAAAACCGTTGGAATACCTTATGCCAGAAAAAGTGTGTTGACCAGCGTAATTATTATCAAAACGTCTTGTGAACTTCTTGTGCTGCCGTTTCAACTCAAACTTTAATTTGTCACGCGGAAAAAAAAGATCCCGTGCAGCCAGTTACCCCGCGCCAGCTGCAGTGACAGCGGTCCGCAGGGCGGACAGGAGCCCAGCCAGCAGCCAGCCAGGAAGCTCGAGGCATCGAGCGCGGGTTGAATGGGAGCGGCAAGGTGAGGACGATGACGACGACGATGATGATGATGATGACGATGATGATGATGACGACGATGACGACGATGATGATGACGATGATGATGACGACGATGACGACGATGATGATGACGACGATGATGACGACGATGACGACGATGAAGATGATGACGACGATGAAGATGGTGATGAGCAGGCTGCGACTTGGTGGCGGGGATCATGGAATTTCCCTCCCTGGGCTCCATTCTCGGAACTGCACTTTCAGTCATATTCTTGGTTCTTTCGGTAAAGTCACGTAGAAGAAAAATAATAAAATAATATAAATATAAAAAATTTAATTCTCACGTTTCGACTGCAACACAAGCAATCACCATCAGGTGTGAAATCCACAGCAAGAAAATGTTCTTTCATCATCAGGTGTGAAATCTTTCTGTGGATTTCACACCTGATGATGATTGCTTGTGTTGCAGTCGAAACGTCGTGAGAATTTTTATTGTTTCAAATTTTTATTATTTTATTGTTTCCCTTCTACGTGACTTTACCGAAAGAACCAAGAAAATGAATCCCTGCAGTCACGAAAGCTTCAAATCAAGATTGCACTTTTAGTCGTCATCCCGACCGGGGTATTTATAGGTGGAGGTGTTCTCGGACGTAAACGCAATTTCCCCAAAGTAACAATCAGCTCTCTTCCAAAACACAACGCAGAAGAAAAAAAATCCCATTTGTACGTTTTTATTCCACGCGGCAATGAAGATTACACGTTTGGCAGATCAAATCCGATGGCCAGTTTCAAACTGCAATTGCTATGGGGACTGAACGTAATCGTTGAAGTTGGTTAACCCCACGCAGTTACAAATATACGGGGTTTTTTTCTTCTCAAAGGTCTACATGGATAAATCAAGCAATGTGATCACTCTTGCACACACACACACACGCAAACCGCTGGGGCGAGCACGGCACACGAGGGCGTGGGTGGCCAGCAACACGCCCGGCCACTTTGTCTCCCGAGTGCTGATGTTTGCACACTGCACCATATTACTCATTTAAGGCTGAATCGACCTAGGGGAGGCCCAGAACCGGTTTAGACATTCGTCAACGATGTTGGCTGCAGGCGGGCATCGAACTCGGGGCGTCGGGTTCGTAAGGCAGCGCCAATGCTCCTTACGACACATGCACGCACAAAAGACAAAGATCCCCCATATAGCCTTAACAGACTGTTGGGGCAAGTGCTGTTAGCGAGCACCTGTGAAGGCCGGCAACAGCACACGAGGGGGTGGGTGGCCAACAGCACGCCCGGTCGCCTTTGTCTCCCTAGTGACGATGTTTACACACCCCACCAGGTATTCATTTGAAGCTGAGTCGACCTAGGGAAGGCCCAGGACCGATGAGCGGGAATCGAACTCGGGTCGCCGGGTTCGTAGCGCAGCGCGCTAACCGCTGCACCACCGCTCCCCACAATATGCACACGCTCATACATACACATGCACACACTCAAAAGTTCGCGAACAAATGCGTAATTTCTTCCCCATGAAATGGCCTCAGGCCTTCACGAACTTGTGGGTGACTTCATAGATTCCGACCGATGCCTTGGCTTTCTCGTCGTAATCATTCCAGTCCTGCGAAGAACAAACACGGGGAGTGGTGAGCGCACACGCGGTTTACACACGCAACACAACACCCCCATTAACAACACACCCACATTTCGATTTAAAGCTTTCGTGACTGCAGGGATTCATCTTCTTGGTTCTTTCGGTAAAGTCACGTACAAGGGAAGTAATAAAATAATTATTATTTTAACACACACACAGATCCCTCTCCCAGCATGGCCTACAGGCTGTTGGGACAGTGCTGTTAGCGAGCGCCTATTAAGGCCGGATTGGCGCACAAGGGGGTGGGTTGAGCCAGAGCCGCCTTGCCCGGCTGCCTATGTTACCCCAGTGCTGTTTGTGTTTGCACATGCCACCCGGTACTCAAACAAGGCTGGGTTGGCCTACAGGAAGACCCTGGACTGGTTATCACTCCCCACTGATGTTAGCCACGAGTGCGTAATGCGGCGCTCCGACCAATGTGCCACCGCTCGCTCACTCGCACACAAACGCACGCAAAGACGCACTCGCAAGCACAATCGCGCAAACACAGGCACGCACAGCAGACCTCACACACGCACACAAAGATCCCCCCTAAAGCCTTAACAGACTTTTGGGGCAAGTGCTGTTAGCGAGCAGCTACAAAGGTCAACGCGGCACACGAGGTCGTGGGTAGCCAGCAACCAAGCACGGCCGCCTTTGTCTCCGGAGTGGCGATGTTTACACACCGCACCAGGTACTCATTTGAGACTGAGTCGACCTAGGGGAGGTCCAGGACCGGTTCAGATAATCGTCACTGGTTTTGGCCGTGAGTGGGAATCGAACTCGGGTGGGCCGGGTTCACAGCGCAGCGTGCTAGCAGTTTTGCTACCGCTCCCTACGCGCGCACACAAATGCTACATTACCCCCGCTGGAAAGCGAGTGCTTGTTCAGGCCAGCTTTGTCTCCCCAGTGCTGAACACGCCACGCATATGGGCACTGCAGATAACCCCACCACGATTAGGCCCTTCGTGATGATAAACGTGCAAACCATGGCAATGAATTCGCAAAAAAATTCGAATGTCGCTCGCGAACCACCTAAACGTAAGTCGCGGCAACGTGTTTTGACCAATCGTTTGGAAATTTATCAATTTGTGAGCACGGCAACTGTGCTGTAAACACCTTCACGTGTCCCGTCGCTGCAATTTATCCCAAATTTTCCGTGGAAAAGTCCACCACAAGCTGAAGTCGCATCCAATGGAATCAGAGGAGCAAATGCAGCAAACGTGTTAAACCCCTGACCGACTTAAAATTGTAACTCTAAAGTTGGTTCGCCTGTGAATTGCTTTCCATAACTTAGTTTCGTCTTCCTTGCTGCGTTGTGTGTTGTGCACACGCATTTTATTTCATGCCGATTTGTGTTCGTGCAATTGGCTTAGAATTATCCCGTGACACCATTGTTTTTTGGCTACGATTTCCATTTGCGTCTACGATTTAATATTTCATTTTATATTATCGCTTTTGGCCATTTTGACAACCCAGTTCGGTTACTCTCGCAAGTGAGACTCATTCTGGTCTCTTGAGTTCTCATCTGGTTAAACAAATGAAACTATAATGGCATCCATATTCTTAGTTCTTTTGGTAAAGTCACGTAGAAGTTAAATAATATAAATATAAAACAATAACAATTCTCACGACGTTTCGACTGCAACACAAGCAAAATTTTTAAATTTTTAAATGTTCTTGCTGTGGATTTCACACCTGATGATGATTGCTTGTGTTGCAGTCGAAACGTGGTGAGAATTGTTATTGTTTAATATTTATATTATTTTATTATTTCCCTTCTATGTGACTATACCGAAAGAACCAAGAATATGAATCCCTGCAGTCACGAAAGCTTTAAATCAAAATATAATGGCATCCGTTGGGAGTTTGTACGTGCACACGTGAATCCGCTGCGACTTCTGCATCGCCCCGCTCGTACTGACCACGAAATACGACGTTCTTCACGCCAAAGATCCAGTCACGTCGCTCAACGAGAAAATTCGACCAAATTTGAACAAAAATTACCACCGCAAATGACTTCATTGTGATTTAACGAAGCGATCGTCGCCCCCTGCCGCCGACAACTGGCAGCACACTCCTGAGGTGACGCTCAACTGAGGCTTTCAAGGGCACTCTCTTCTCGTCCTGTCGAACACAAAAGCACCTTCGTTGCCAGCCTAGTGCCGTGACAACGGCTCTCGTCGAGCTAAACGTGACGTGTGCACCACGTGACGCGCACACCACGTGACGTGTTGCACAGCACGTGTCGGTACTCGCCGTTCACATCGCGACCAACGCAACGGTGATTGGAACGAAGATCCGTACCGGACAACGTCTTCATCTAGTAATAGGTTTTTACCCTTTCAACTGGTACAAAAACTGACACCTTTATACAAGGCATCATGTTTGCAATAACCACAACACAAGCAGTCAAAATGCAAACAAAAAGAAACAACTCTGATGATGATGATAATGATCATCATTATGATAATGATGATAATGATGATAATGATCATCATTATCATCATCAGAGTTGTTTCTTTTTGTTTGCATTTTGACTGCTTGTGTTGTGGTTATTGCAAACATGATGCCTTGTATAAAGGTGTTAGTTTTTGTACCAGTTGAAAGGGTAAAAACCTATGACAATATTTTGCCACTGGTAAAGGAGATGTCTCATAGTGTAAACATCTTCATCGTCGCAGGACGCCCATCAAATAATAAGAGCCCCACAGCTCATGGGGCCCTTTCTGGCAAAATAAATAAAATCTCTTGACGATAATAAGCACGAGAATTACCTTCTCTTGCAGGTTGATGTCTCCAAATTGTGTCCGCGTGTCGGCTCCTTCCGCCGTGAATCCGGCCTGAGCGAGCAGAGTGGCGTTCTTGTAAGAAGCGTCATGGCCAACGACAAGACGCTCACAGAAACACGTGGCGGCGGCGACGACGACAACGGCGTGTCCCTGTGCTAGTCACCGCTACTGGTAGCCCGTCGGAGCAAGTGTTGTTAGCGAGCACCCGTGAAGGTCGCCACAGCATCATACACTGGGAGTGTCGTGCTGCCAGCTACGGCTGCAGGTTTTTATCGTTTATTGTTACATTTTAAATCACAGTTCCTATGATTACTGTTGTTACATTGTTTTTATAGCTTTATTTTGATGATTCGAAAACATATGGTTAATCTAAATTGTCTTATGGTTGTTGTTGGCTTGTACCACATTGTGATTTTTGCACGCAGCGTTTTAATACAGATTTTTTTTTTGCCAATATTTGCTGGTTTATTCCAGGATGTTTCTGTTGCGCGTCGTCGCTTTAAGATGTTCTGTGTTCATATTTAGTTTGTTGCGGTTGCACCTGACTCAAGAGCCGCATGGCTCACAGGGCTATGCCTAATAATTGAAACTTGAAACTTGAAACAGCAGCACGTCAAGGGGGTGGAGTGGCTAGCACCCACGCCCGGGCCACCTTTGTCTCCCCAATTATGTTTGCGCACTAAACTAGGTACTCAATTAAGGCTGAGTCTACCTAAGGGGGAGGCCTGGGACCTGTTCAGATATTCATAACTGATGCTGACAGCGAACGGGACTCGAAAAAGTACACTCACGCACACTCAAGCATGCACACACGCACACACATTTATCTTATTTCACAGCGATTTACGTTTCCGCACCGTTTTAATTTCTCATGAAATGTGGTTGTTTTTGCTCCGATTTCTATTTGCTTCATTGCCTGACTTGATTTGAAGCTTTCGTGACTGCAGGAATCCATCACGACGTTTCGGGCGCAACACAAGCGTCCGTCATCAGGTGGGAAAGCTTTGAGTTGCGCCCGAAACGTCGTGATCTCCTTCATTTTATTTAATACCCACGTGACTTTACCGAAAGAACCAAAGAGTATGCTGGACTTAGTTTGAAGCTTATTGCCATTGCCCTTTTGGTGAGCCCAGTTCAGTCACTCTTGCAAATGAGACTCCTCTGTCCTGCCCCCTTGAGTTCTCACCTGGCCAAAGAAAATCTCCTCGAACCTCGAACCTCGGGCAGACGGTTTCGTAGGGCGGCGGGCGCCCGAAACCGCCGCGCCGCCGCTCGCACGCTCTCTCACCTGCAGCTGGAAATCCACGGGCTGGAGCCCACGGCACTCAAAGACGACCACGGTCTTGAAGGTTTCACTGTCTTCAGCCTGCACACGGCACGGCACGACCACCGCCACCCACATCGCTCTCTGGCCTTGGCACGGCGGGAGCGACGAAGCGGCTCGCGGACAAAAGGGTCTCTGGGTATGTATTGCGCCGTACCGTAAAAATACGGTCCAATATCCCACCCAGTGTAGGTGGGCTCTCATCCAGTGGTGGATTGACAAATTGGGGCTGCGAATGTTCATTGATCAGGTCGTATTATTTCTTGGTATTAAATGGCCAAGTCTAAATTTAACTCGTGAATATTTCTTCGCGCACCAAACACACTCAATGCGGACGACGAAATGACACCACATTGGTACGAGACCCCGGAAACTCACACGGCAACGTCTCAGCGTCACAAGCCGACATCTGTAAAACTTTCAACCACAACGTGGAGTGCGCAGTGATACTGCACTGTGTAGAACGCGGCTCTCCGCGCAAGAGCGTCGAATAACGCTGCGAAATTACCCGTCTGCGTCTTCATACACTCAGTAATGACATCTTCTCAGTCACGCTTTGGTTTTTGGTGGGTAGTCGTAGTCATTGTCACGATGGATAATTTTAGTACACAAAGCCAAAAGCTGACTAAAGTAAAAAAAAAACTCCACTAAGATGACAAATGTTTTCATCCTTGCTCTTGTTAACAGAGCTCTCGCCGGAGATGCTGTGACATCGGGCCTAGCGTCCACGTGAGGTTTTAGCGTTAACGCCTCTTGGAGCACGTCCTGAACGGCGCAGCTGAAACCTGCTCACAGCCGGGGGTCCGTTTTTCAACTGGACCTCTCCCTGCGGCCAAACACTTTTTGTAACGAATTCTATCAACTTGGTGAGTTGGTAATACGTTATAGAATTAATTTAAGGAGCATAACCATGGTTGTTCCTTGCAGCAATATTTTAATTTTCCAAATGTTGCCAGTAGATGGTAGAAGCACCGTGTGTGTGTCAGTTTAGGGTATTTACCACTAATTGTTTACCTGTGAAAATGTTTAGTGGGTGAGAATTGAAATGTGTTCGACTCACATTGTAGGGCTTCATGGATTCCTTTAAGATGTCTAAATAAATGGTCACACACACACACACAAAGACAAAGATTCTCCGGTACATCTATGACATGACTTTTGTGGCAAGTGCTGTTTGCGAGCGCAAGTCAGCCGCCCATAAAATTCACAACGCAACTCTGGTGAACTTGAAAAAACACAATCAGAAACCGTGACGGCAACTTGAGTTGAAACTCGGAATTTCAAGGCCCAAATCCTGACGTTAAGCAAGTGAGACCAGCCTGTGAAGTGAGAATGGCCCAGCGAATTCACTCAGCAGGCCAGATAATTCACGGCTCAACTTGAGTTGTCAGAAGAAAATGCGGAAACGAGTCGCAACGAGAGAGTCAACTCGAGTCCGACATCGACTTCTGCGACCCACGGGGACACGGCATCAGCGGCTCGACGGATCCATCAAACGCACGGAATTGGGCACGGACGCTCACCTAGAATTTAAGCTTTCGCGACTGCAAAGATTCATAGTCTTAGCTTTTTTCGGTAAAGTCACGTAGGTAAAAGATTAAAATTATTAAAAGTAAAATAAAAATAAAATAAAAATCACGATGTTCCACCTGAAGACGGAAGCTTGTGTTGCCTCCGAAACGTCGTGATTTTTATTTTATTTTTATTTTACTTTCATTAATTTAAATTTTTTACCTACGTGACTTTACCGAAAAAACCTAAGACTACGGACGCTCACCTATCGAGTTCTCGCGTGAGCACAGCTTACACTTCTGCACCATGCTGGCACTGCCACGGCCACCCTTCAGTGGGGCGCTCTCCTAAGGACACAGAACACACGGCAGTGCAGCAACGCAGTGGTAACACTCTCGCCTTACAGCAAGCATCACCTGGGCTCGAATCACGACTTTGATGCCTTTCTGTGTGGAATTTCGATTTAAAGCTTTCGTGACTGCAGGGATTCATCTTCTTGGTTCTTTCAGTAAAGTCACGTAGAATGGAAATAATAAAATAATAAAAATAAAACTTAATAAAATAATTCTCACGACGTTTCGGCCACAACGCAAGCAGCCGTCCTCAGGTGGAAAACTCTGTCTTCTCGACAGACCTGTTCTCCACCTGAGGACGGCTGCTTGCATTGTGGCCGGAACGTCGTGAGAATTATTAAATGTTTTATTTTTATTATTTTATTATTTCCATTCTACGTGACTTTACTGAAAGAACCAAGAAGATTTCTGCGTGGAGTTTATAAAATTCTCTCCCTGTTTTTTCATGGGTTTTCTCCAGGGTTCTCTGTTCCCCCCCCCCCCCCCCATAGCTAACAAAACAATGCAACTGGTCTTGGCAAAAATATCCCGATGTGGCCAGGACCACGCCACGCTCTAGGGCTCAATTTGACACACTGTACCAGTTACTCATTGGGGGCCCAGTCAAGATAATGAAGGCACACGATACGTTTGGGTACCCGTCACCACCGATGTTATCCATCGCCCAGAGTTGACCCCAGATTGTCGAGTGAACGGTGGGGAGCGTGAAACGAAACAAAGATTCCCCATCGTGGCCGGTGGGTTAAGTGCTGTTAGCGGGCACCGATGAAGGTCAGCACGGCACTCCTATGAGTGTTGCCGTTTACTCATGGATCTCAGCTAATCATTAAGGCTGTTCTGACCCAGATGAAGCCCATCAGCACCGGTTCAGACATTTGCCGCTGATTATGGCGCAAGCGGGCGGGAATCAAACTTCGTTGGTTCATCGAGCAGCGCACCAACCACACACACACACACACACGTGTACAATAAGCAGCCGGACGGCTCTTCACAGACCTGCAAGGAGATGTACTGCCACTTGTCAGAAACTTCCCCACAATTGGCGCATTTCAACTGCAAGTAGAAACACGCGGCATTAAAGTGCAGCCATCGCTTTCTCTGCAATGACGCGAATATTCAGCAACACAAGCCTCTCAATCATTGCGACCGTTGTGCTATGTCGTTTGAAGGCACAGGATCGGTGGATAGGAAAGTGACAAGCGCGTACACAGCGATGCCAGACAACAACACTGTAATCCCACCTTCAAGTACCAGCGGAAGTCTTCTCCACTTGGCCTGAGTCCCGTCAGGTTCTCCAAGGTGGCCTGCAGCTGAAGACCGAATCTCTGAGAGTGGTCAAAAAAAAACTGGTGTTAGCGAGCAGTTATGAAGGCCGGCAAGGCACACGAGACGTGAGTGGCCAGCACCACGCCCTGCCGCCTTTGTCTCCCTAGCGGCGATGTTTACACATCGCACTAGGTACTCATTTTAGGCTGAGTCGACCTAGGGGAGGCCCAGAACCGGTTCAGATAATCGTCACTGGTTGCTTGCCGTGAGCGGGAATCGAACTCGGGTCACCGGGTTCGTAGCGCAGCGCGCTAACGCTACACTACCGCTCCCCACACACACATATACACACACACATATACACACACACATATACACACACACATATACACACACACATATACACACACACACTATCACAAAAGCACCCAGAAACTCTTTTCCAGGAAGCTCCTGCTAAGTTCTTCGCAATGGGGGAGGCGACGCTTCCTGTTTTTCCAAACAAATCGTTCACATTTGGCAACATTTGCACCGTGAATGGTGACGTAACCCTTGCACGTCCAGACTGCTGACGCGTAGCACCGTGCAATGCATTACACATTCACTTCTCGGCATTATTCTGCATGTGCAGTGCTCCACAGCAACCTCACTATTCCTGTTCCCTGTTATGATGGCGTGGGGATTTCTCGTCATTTTCACAGATCAGCGTTCACGCACCCGCGGTATTAACCGGGGCGGTTTTTCTGGGTTCCGAACCGCGAATGCGACGTCACCAAACGGGGAAACGTGGCACCCGCTCCGGCCTCGTCATCGCCACCGGCCGTGAATCACTTCCACCGCTGGTCAACAAAGTGCAGCCCGTGCCACCCCACGATGAACTCCTTGAAGTGTCAATGCGCCGGCAGACTGCAGAGGGTTCGGATGACGGATCACCGGGCGTAGCGTGTATGATACTAAACTGGTTGTTTCGGTAAAAAAAAAAGGCACGTAGATAGAAAAAAATTAAAGAAAATAAAAAAAAAACTTCTAGGTTCTTTCGGTAAAGTTACGTAGAAGAGGAATAATAAAATAAACATATTAAATAATTCTCACGACGTTTCGGCCACAACGCAAGCAGCTGCTTGCGTTGTGGCCGAAACATCGTGAGAATTATTTTGTTTATTTTTATTATTTTACTATTTCCCTTCTACGTGACTTTACCGAAAGAACCAAGAAGATGAATCCCTGCAGTCACGAAAGCTTAAATCGAAATTTAAATAAAAAACGACGTTTCGATCACTACAGCAAGCGATCGTCATCAGGAAAAAAAGTACAAAAAATGTAAGTAAAAAATGTTAAGTCGTAATATCAATCTTGATTTGAAGCTTTCGTGACTGCTGGAATCAACACTCTTTAGTTATTTCGGTAAAGTCACGTGGGTAGGAAAATAAAAACTATTTATTTCTAGATTTGAATTCTCAAACAGCTCTTCTCTGCCCACTACAGTAACTTTGTTTCTTGCTGTGGTTCTCCCACCTGATGACGGAAGCTTGTGTTGCTTCCGAAACGTCGTGATTTAATTTAGTTATTTCTATTTTTTTTTCTTATTTTATTTTTTCACCTACGTGACTTTACCGAAAGACCCAAGAGTATTAATTCCTGCATTAACGAAAGCTTTAAGTCAAGATTAAAGTCAAATTTTACACTAAACTTATTTTTTTAAATCATCAGGTAAGGCCCCCTGAGCTATCGAGGCTGTGGTTGCATCATCTGCCACTGTTGTGCTGTACTTCTATGCCCCCCCGCGCCTTTCCCCATTGAGACTTTTGTTTCAAACAGCGCTGTCTGTTGCTGGCCGCTGGAGGCTACGGCGGAGGGGATGGGGTTTATTCGCGTGATCTCGCTGGGTTAAGGGGCCGCCCATAAATGACGTCACACGATTTTGGACGATTTTTGACCCCCCCCCCCCCTTGTCACAAAAAGTCAGACCCCCCCCCCCTCAAATATGACGTCACAAAGCTCTGCCCCCCCCCCCCCAAAAAAATTAAACATGCTTCAAGAACGCTTTAAACTATTGTCATTGTGGTGCGTATTTAATGCGGCGCTGCACTCTGATGTTGTAGGAGAAAACATTTATTAAAAAGTATATTTAGATAAGTAGAACGTGTTGTCTATGTTTATTTAAAGTCGCGCATTTTGATGTGACGTCACATTTCTCAAACCGCCCCCCCCCCTGGTCACACATCGTCACAAATGTCTGACCCCCCCCCCCCCCCCTAGGTGCGTGACGTCATTTATGGCCGGCCCCTAAGTCACACCGACCACAGCGGTGAAGTATGGACAAATAAACCACGGCGCACGCGAAAGCCTCGCGGAGCGACGTCGCTTACCACCATGCTGACGGTGGCAAAGAATCGATTCCCCGTTGGATCGTAGAAGGTCGAATCGACTCCCCCCCCCTTGTTAGGCCAACGGTGTCGCGGAATCGATACCACGATGTGACGCCAAATGTAATCGATTCTCGGTACGTTCACTATTGCGGAGGATCGATTCTTGGAATCGGTTGTATGTAAATGAAATCGATTCTCAATCTGGTGAGGCATAGCGTCAGTTAGGGGCCGTCCATAAATGACGTCACGCACCTATTTGGGGGGGGGGGGTCAGACATTTGTGACGATGTGTGACGAGGGGGGGAGGGGGGTTGAGAAATGTGACGTCACATAAAAATGCGCAACTTTAAATAAATAAATATAGACAACACGTTCTACTTAATTAAATAGACTTTCTAATAAATGTTTTCTCCTACAACATCAGAGTGCAGCGCCACATTAAATACGCACTACAATGACAATAGTTTTAAGCGATTTGAAGCATTTTTTTTTGGGGGGGGGCAGAGCTCTGTGACGTCATATTCGAGGGGGGGGTGACTTTTTGTGACGCCGTGTAACGAGAGGGGGGGGTCAAAAATCGTCCAAAATCGCGTGACGTCATTTATGGACGGCCCCTAAAGTGTGGGTGCCGCCCAATGCTGGAGGTTGATTCCACGGACGAAGAATCCCCTCCGTAAAGCTCCCTCTTCCGCCAGCAGTGACAGAGGGGCGGGCAGTTGCAGAGCTGCGCCTTTAATCCCATAGCGTGGTGATGGGGGGCTTTCATCCAGCAGTGGATAGACCATGGCTGAGATGTTTTATTAATTTCGGTACTTTTATTCGCTTCACGTGATACGGTTTTTTAAATCCTTTATATTAAGTTCACTTGCTTGCGTGCTTGCTTGCTTAGGACCGTGCAAATCTTTCGGTCGTTTTTTAACCCGCTTTCCGTGATCCAATCGAGCTGACATTTTCCACACAGACTCGTTGTGCGTGACAATTAATGTTCGTGAAAATTTTTTTCCAAAATTTTACACTGTTTAGGACAAAAATATTATATTTAATTACCAATTGCTAAATGGTGCAATGCAATCATCTGACCCATAGGTGGCAGCCATCTCTAGCCAGAGGACGAGAGGACTCTAGCCGCCACGCATATAAAGGATTTATAATGAAAAACTTTGTTTTTACGGGTTATACTTATTTTCTTGGTTCTTTCGGTAAAGTCACGTAGAATGTAAATAATAAAATAATAAAAATAAATACATTCTACGTGACTTTACCGACAGAACCAAGAAGATGAATCCCTGCAGTCACGAAAGCTTTAATCGAAAAGTGATACGGTTTTTTTTTATTCCGACGGTCGCGAGTAATTGAGATTTCTTACGATGTGGGTAATTTTAAACTCAAAGTTGTATCCACAATTTCACGTAACACGCAAACTCTCGCGAGATTTGGGGAGAGTTCGCACGCAAACTCGCGAGATCTCGTGCTGTTGAATAACGAATCGATTACGTCGGCACTAAGCAATCCAACACGGAGGAATCGATGTTTTTATATCACGTATCACACAAGCCTCTCGGCGCATCTATTAAAACCCTTAACATTACCAAATCTTAACTAGTCTATTGTTAATAGCTCGCGTTTTACAACAACAAAAACGGATTTGACAGCGATGAAATAACGCGGCAATGGATGAAATCGACGTTTAGGAATCGACATCGATTAACACCGGGCCGAATCGATTCCAGGATCTCAGCATGGCGGGTTCTGCTCTGCGAGTGTGTGGCAAGGTGGGAGGGCAAAGTTTCGCGTTTTTAAAATTACGGATCGCGTCAAAGATAAACAACAACAACAATAACAACAACAACTCGTGTCGGTTAAAGATAAACCCCCGCGTTGTTCGAGGGCTGCGCTCGCAGCTGATGGCGTAGCAGTGCGGCGGTCGTGTTGGCTGTTTCGCTCTGACATTGAGTTCAGTGAAAGGCGAAGGGGACCGTCCATAAATGACGTCACGCACCTATTGGGGGGGTGGGGGTCAGACATTTGTGAAGAGGGGGGGGGGAATGTGACGTCACGTAAAAATGCGCAACTTTAAATAAATGTAGACAACACGTTCTACTTAATTAAATTGACTTTTTAATAAATGTTTCCTCCTACAACATCAGAGTGCAGCGCCACATTAAATACGCACTACAATGACAACAGTTTACAGCGATTTGAAGCATGTTTTATTTTTGGGGGGGCAGATCTCTGTGACGTCATTTGAGGGTGGGGGGGGGGTCTGGCTTTTTGTGACGCCGTGTGACGAAGGGGGGGGGGGGTAAAACATCGTCCAAAATCGCGTGACGTCATTTATGGACGGTCCCTAAGCAACTTTGTAGGAGGTTTGCGAATGGAGTTTGCGGTTCGACGATGAAGACGTAGGAGGAGGTTGTGATGATGGGTGGGACATGTGGTGGGGAGGAGGAGGTTGTGATGATGGGTGGGTCACGTGGTGGGGAGAAGGAGGAGGTTGTGATGATGGGTGGGACGCGTGGTGGGGAGAAGGAGGAGGTTGTGATGATGGGTGGGTCACGTGGTGGGGAGAAGGAGGAGGTTGTGATGATGGGTGGGACGCGTGGTGGGGAGAAGGAGGAGGTTGTGATGATGGGTGGGTCACGTGGTGGGGAAGAGGAGGTTGTGATCAGAGGTGGGACAAAGTCATTGTTATGCAAGTCCAAGTCGAGTCTGAAGTCATCAAATTCATGACTCGAGTCTGACTCGAGTCCAAGTCACATGACTCGAGTCCACACCTCTGGTTGTGATGATGGGTGGGACGCGTGGTGGGGAGGAGGAGGAGGTTGTTATGATGGGTGGGACGCGTGGTGAGGAGGAGGAGGAGGTTGTTATGATGGGTGGGACGCGTGGTGGGGAAGAGGAGGTTGTGATGATGGGTGGGACGCGTGGTGTGAAGGGGGGAGGAGGTTGTGATGATGAGTGGGACGCGTGGTGGGGAGGAGGAGGTTGTGATGATGGGTGGGACATGTGGTGGGGAGGGGGGGAGGAGGAGGTTGTGATGATGGGTGGGACGCGTGGTGGGGAGCAGGAGGAGGTTGTGATGATGGGTGGGACGCGTGGTGGGGAGGAGAAGGTTGTGATGATGGGTGGGACGCGTGGTGGGGAGAAGGTTGTGATGATGGGTGGGACGCGTGGTGGGGAGGAGAAGGTTGTGATGATGGGTGGGACGCGTGGTGGGGAGGAGAAGGTTGTGATGATGGGTGGGACGCGTGGTGGGGAGGAGAAGGTTGTGATGATGGGTGGGACGCGTGGTGGGGAGGAGGAGGTTGTGATGATGGGTGGGTCACGTGGTGGGGAGGGGGGGGAGGAGGAGGTTGTGATGATGGGTGGGTCACGTGGTGGGGAGGGGGGGAGGAGGAGGTTGTGATGATGGGTGGGTCACGTGGTGGGGAGGAGAAGGTTGTGATGATGGGTGGGTCACGTGGTGTGAAGGGGGGAGGAGGTTGTGATGATGGGTGGGACACGTGGTGGGGAGGAGGAGGTTGTGATGATGGGTGGGACACGTGGTGGGGAGGGGGGGAGGAGGAGGTTGTGATGATGGGTGGGACACGTGGTGGGGAGGAGGAGGTTGTTATGATGGGTGGGACACGTGGTGAGGAGGGGGGAGAAGGAGATTGTGATGATGGGTGGGACATGTGGTGAGGAGGGGGGAGGAGGAGATTGTGATGATGGGTGGGACATGTGGTGGTGGAAGAGGAGGAGAAGGTTGTGATGATGGGTGGGACATGTGGTGGGGAGGAGGAGGTTGTGATGATGGGTGGGACGCGTGGTGGGGAGCAGGAGGTTGTGATGATGGGTGGGACACGTGGTGGGGAGGAGGAGGAGGAGGTTGTGATGATGGGTGAGTCACGTGGTGTGAAGGGGGGAGGAGGTTGTGATGATGGGTGGGACGCGTGGTGTGCAGGGAGGAGGATGAGGTTGTGATGATGGGTGGGACACGTGGTGTGCAGTGGTATATAAACTGCTGGATAAAATCCAATAATAATGAAAGCTTACGACCCTCACTTGCAATGCATTGAAAGCATTGGCTCAACGAGCGCTGGGGTTGTGCGACCAATGAATGTGCCGACCATCCCCTCTGTGCGTGTCCCAGCTCCTGCTGCGTCGCCCTCCGTCGCTCTCGGCGGCCGCACCGTTTGGGTCTCGTGGCTACAATGGGGAGGCCCCGGGCCACCCCGGGGAGAACGGAGACAGCACGCTCCCGCCGTGGGAGGAGCGCACGGGCGAGCCGCTGGACACGAAGCGAGCGCGCCTGCTGTACGAGAGCCGCAAGCGCTGGCATGCTGGAGAACTGCATCCTGCTGAGGTGGCGGACTTCGCTCGGCGCGTTAAGCCACACCGTGCCTACGTGGTCTCACCACCACCACCATCGTCGTCGGCGTCTCCCCGATGCTGTCGGGCTTCTAGGCCAATGTTTTCCAGCCGCATTTGAGTGGGAAAACTCCTGACCGCTTTCGACTTCTGTTGATTCTCATGAGCAGCCTGGTTGCTATAGGCAAGAGCACTCCAAATGTAATCCCGGATCAATGCCAAGATGACACTGGCTGATTTTCAAAATCCTCCATCCCACTATATTCCCCTTGATGCACTCTCCTACCTATTCTCTCACTCTACTCCCCTCCACGCATTCTCCAACCTCACCCCTCTCATCTCATTCTAATTCCCTCCACGTGCTCGCCTACCTCTCTCCTCACCTCTCACTCCACACTCTCCACTCCGGCACTCAACACTCAAGCTTTCTGTCAAAGCCCCCAGTCAGTGGGAGGTCGCTCATTCTCATCTGCTGCCCCTATAGTCTAGGAAAGCCATTTTCCCCAGTCACCCGTCCTGGAGAATCCTTGCCCCTATTCACGTAGATATTTTCTTTGAACCTATCTACGTGACTTTACCGAAAGACCAAAGAATATGAATTCCTGCAGTCACGAAAGCTTTAAGTCAAGATTTAATCCTTGCCCGTGTTCCAAGTCCAGGCTCAAGATGTTCCTCTTCTCCTCTGCCTATGACCGTCTGCCTCGCTATAAGATAAATATGGCCACTTTCTGTTGAGCGTTGTGGGATGCAGTCACAATAAGTCTAGTTTATAGTCCATTGTGTAATTGTCACGGTGTGCTTTGTCCTTCCAGCTTCTTTGCCTAAGGAGTATCTCAACACCATGAGTGAGAAGCAGCTGCGTTTATACGACAAACTCATTAACCAGCCCAGCAATGACTGGGATATATACTACTGGGCAACAGGTCAGTCCACAACACCATCAACTACCTTCTCTACCCAGAAAGAACTAAATTCGTGGTGAAATAATGCCGCAACGGAAATAGTCACATTGTTAGAAGTGGCCAGGTGGCTCAGAGGCAAGAGCTTTTGGATCCGTGTGCTTGCACGTGTGTGCAGGTCAGATGTGACTCCATTAAAACCTGTTCCTTTCATTGTCACACACACACGTGAGGTGGCTAAACGAGCTAGAGCTCAGACAGGCTGAGCCGGCACCACGAAGATCTTCGGTTCGAATCCATGTTATCGCTTTCTGTGATGGAACCAGGTTTTGTAACGCACAATATCCCAGACATAATTCTTACAAGACATCCTGTGGCGGTCCTGTTTACTAATCATCAGTCGCACGCAGCATGCAATGACAAATCACATTTGAGCAGAGACGGTTGGGTCGGTGTGCCACGCGAAGGCCACAGCTTTGGAGGTGCTCAGCAGGCAGCCTGTCGACAACCGGCAAATCAATCGGGATAAATTCAAGGCGTCGGGTTTGGCGCGGTTGCCTTGTGTTTGTGTGGTGCGAGTGCAGGGGCTCGCCCGACGCCTAGCGAATTCGACTCGGAGGTGATGCACCTCCTGCAGGAGTACGCCAAGAACCGAAACATGGAGCAGCGAATCTGCCAGCCAGACCTGGAGTACCTCTTCGAGAAAAAGGCCTGAAGGGCGAGGACGCCCGCCCACTGCCAGCAATGTTCACCGTTTCACGGCCGGTCACGTCTACTCTTGGCAAACAGCGATGATGCCCTCCTCTTGTGGCCGGTCCAATTATCATGTCACGTGAGCGATTGTGGTCTCTTTTTTTTTCGGGCCACATATACACGTGATGAAGTTCTGCTGCTGCCATCTAGTGGCAGCATCTGGACAAGAAAATATTGCACAACGAATAACCAGGGTCATGCCTCTTCCATGAATTCTGAAACGTGTTACCAATTGACCAATATTATACAGAATTTGTTACAAAAAGTGTTTGGCCGCAGAGAGACGTGCAGTTAAAAAAACAGACGCCCAGCTGTGAGCAGGGTTCAGCTGCGCCGTTCAGGACGTGCTCTGAGAGGCGTTAACTGCTAAAACCTCACGTGGACGCGAGACCCGATGTCAGTGCGTCTCCAGTGAGAGATCTGTTAACAAGAGCAATGATGAAAACAATTCTTCTTGGTTCTTTCGGTAAAGTCACGTAGAAGGGAAATAATAAAATAATAAAAATAAACCAAGAAAATAATTCTCACGACGTTTCGGCCACAACGCAAGCAGCCGTTTTTTATTATGTTTTATTTTTATTATTTTATTATTTCCCTTCTACGTGACTTTACCAAAAGAACCAAGAAGATGAATCCCTGCAGTCACGAAAGCTTTAAATCGAAATGTAAACAATTGTCACCTTGGTGGAGTTTTTCCTATTCAAGTCAGCAATGGCTTAGTGCACTAAAATTATCAATCGTGACAATGACTACGACTACCCACCAAAGACCAAAGCGTGACTGACACGATGTCGTTAGCGAGTGTATGAAGACGCAGACAGATAATTTCGGAGCGTTATTCGACGCTCTTGCGCGGAGAGCCGCGTTCTACACAGTGCAGTATCGCTACGCACTCCACGTTGTGGTTGAAAGTTTTACAGATGTCGGCTTGTGACGCCGAGACGCTTGCCGTGTCAGTTTCCAGGGTCTCGTGCCAATGTGGTGTCATTTCGTCGTCCGCATTGAGTGTGTTTGGTGCGCGAAGAAATATTCACGATGTTAAATTTAGACTTGGCCATTTAATACCAAGAAATAATACGACCTGCTCAATGAACATTCGCAGCCCCAATTTGTCATTCCACTGCAGGATGGGAGCCTGCCCACGCTGTGGGATAATTGACCATACTTCACCACGCTGGTCATAGCGGGTAGGGTGAAGGTGGGGGAGTAGACAATGGAATGTTGTACAGTGCAATAGATGTTGGACACCCTCACAAACGAGATGTTTCACCTCAAGGAATTATCAACAAGTTCGTTATGAACAGATGCCAGGTACAATAATGTAAATAAAGATGTACATTATGACTAACAATATGTAACAAAAACAATCATAAAATATACCAATTAGTACAATATATGGTCTGAGCACATGGACGACAGTTGCTGGTTGTGAGCTATCTATCACCATAGTGTACAATCAGTTGATTTTGGCAATTATTTTAAAACATCTTAGTTGGAAGCTGTAGTACTCTAATTTATTAAGGCACTTGTAACAGTTTTGATTTACTGTGTCAGTATCTTTTTTGACCGTATTCTCTGCATTATAAAACCCACTTTTTGCCTTCTATTTTCAAGCAAAGGTGAAGGGTTGGTCTTATAATCCAGGAGGCATGTGTGACCAGATTAGTATAACCTTAATGAAACTGGGCACAGGTGTGATGAGGGTTTCTTACTCTCTGAAGAAGATGGTAACACAATGTTATGGTTTTACATATCCGAAGAGAATGTCTGTACTAGTTATAAACCATTTGAAATCTATGAAAAATATTGCGACATTCATTATGAATATAAAGAAGCTCGGTTTTAGATGTAACTTGTAAAATGCTTTCTTGCTGTCGAGTATTGAAATAGTTTCATAGGTTAACGGTTCATTCATTACTCGAACTTTAACAATCATCGTAACTTGTTTTATCGGTTTCCAAGAGGAAAATAAAATGCAATACGAAATGTTTTCATGTTCTTAATGATTACACAGGAGTGCACAGTGGTGGTTTGAATGGGGTCATGGGGAAAAGTAGCAAAACAGGGCCCTCCCCTTCATAGCCTGACGCCAAGGCCCAGTGCAGATACACCACCTGCACACTTGACAGACATCATTGTGATCTGCCAAATGCACGTCATCATTACAACGACCCAAGTTACTGCCAGAGTTATCGGGGAATATGGATTGCCCCATTTGTGAATCCACTGCCGCCTTTCTATGAAGATTGCTCCTAACGTCATCAGCCATGAGTAGAGTAAGCCACCTGTATGGGTTCGACCCGGACAGTCTGGGAATTTATGTGATCTGTTGTCTGGAGGCAGCAGTAAGTATTGATTTGTACTGAGAACTGGTCCCAGTTATCGCTTTGTTGAATCTCTGTTGCAGTTTTGTACTGGAGAGCGTTGTTAGACCTCGCCCGACAGGTTTGATTTGCAGTGGAAAAGCTGTCCACCCGAGCCACGTACAACCCACTCACCTGATCATAAAAACCGACGCTCTTCCTCGGTGGCTCCTGATAACCGTCACAATGTCCACGTGTGATTTCTCTTGTTATAATGAACTCGAATGTACAATGTGTTCAAATACCTTGATTCACTTTACAGACAATTGGTTACCAAAATATGTTACTTATATTATAGTGATGGTCCCTGCACCAAAGCAATAAAAAATAACATAAGCAAGTTTATTGTTGAGTGAAAATTACACGTGGCATGAGTGATACGGTTACAATACTCAACTTTATACAATCTAAAGAGTTTAATGTAAAGGTGCAGCCTTGCATTTGCATGAGCACTACATATTCTGGCAGTAGGTCCTCCACTAGAGGGAGCTATGGAGAGCCCCTTTAGAGGGTATTTGGCCTACTCTTCCACGTTGGCCACAATTATGTAAACATTTACAGATTTTTTATATATATAATTTAACGTAATTCAAAGACTAATCACATTGAACATTTACTATCATAATTACACACTGGCAAAAACATTGGCAGGTAAATATAAACCAACTTTAATTAACTGACCGGTTAGAAAGTACACCATTTAAACGGCTGTTTTTAATTGTTATAAAATCTTTTTTTCAACTACACATTGATCAGAACATAAAGCACAATCTAGCCACCAAAGTAAATAACGCCGTTTGTTTAAACATGAATATTACAAAATAAATTTGTTGAACTACACTTACTAATCAGAACAACCCAGTACAATTTATCCACCACAATAACATAACTTTTCATTGGATACAATTATCTTCTTGGTTCTTTCGGTAAAGTCACGTAGAAGGGAAGTAATAAAATAATAAAAATAAAACATAATTTTATAATGTTTTATTTTTATTATTTTATTAATAAAACATAATTTTTTTTATTTTATTACTTCCCTTCTACGTGACTTTACCGAAAGAACCAAGAAGATGAATCCCTGCAGTCACGAAAGCTTTAAATCGAAATAAATGGATACAATTAGTTTAAAAATAAACAATTTAAACGTAACGCACACACGCACAGACACAGCCACATTGGACGGAAGTGAAACCCACGGGTCGCGGGTCAAAGGTCAATCTGTTTACCCAGCAGCCCGCGCGCGCCATCTTGGTGGAGGAAGGGGCCTTGAGCGCGGTTTGTGGCGTCGCGTCTCGCTTCTCTCTCCTCCCTCTCCTCCCTTCGGTGGCCTCCGTCTCGTTCGCTTCGCTCGTCCACCACCACCACCGTCTCGTTTCCCCTCATCGCTACCCACCCCCTCACCTCATCGTCTCACATCGAGCTGGCTTCTTCCCCCCGCCAACCGCGAGCCGTTTACCGTGGTAACAAAGCACGGCTCGCCATCATCATCATCTTCATCATCATCAAACGTTCGGTTTCTTCTGTTGCCGATGTTGTCGCTGCCATTGCTGCTGCTGCTACGAGAGCTGCTACTGATGATGATGCTGCTGCTGCTGATACTGATACCGATACTAACGCTGCAATTGCTGCTACAAAAGCAATTGCCGCCATCGCGACTACCGATGCTGCTGATACTGACTCTGATTGCTCGGTGCTGTTGATACTACAACTGGCTGATGCTGCTGATGATTACTGATTGCTGCTTGTACTACTTGTGCTGTTGCCGGGGAGCTAGCGGCGAGAAGAACGGCCGTGGGTTTTCACGTCCCATGTACCCTGTGCGGATGTAGTGAGTGGATGGAGACTTTGCGAGTAATTTGCGGGGTGGTGGTGGGACTCTGGTGTTGTTGTTTGTGTTCGAGTCGATGCTGTTGGGATCTGGATCTGAGTAGGAGCATGAGGCTTGGTAGGTAGTCTGGGGCCACGTTTGTGTTGGTTCGTATCCGGGCGGGGGAGGGGGGAACACACAGAGTTAACATCCCGATCTGAGTTGGAGACTTCAGTATTCGATGTCTGGGGTTGTTTTTGTATCGGGGAAGGTCCTGAGTCGGTGGGTCACGGAGTCTGTGAGTTGGGTGAGGGTTCGAGTCTGGTTTGGGTCTTGGGTTAGAGACCTGGCGTGGGCATGGGTAGGCCCCAAACTCTGAAAGTTGTGGAATTTGGTGTCGCGCAAGGAATCGGTAGATGTGTTTACATTCGAGTTTATAGTGGACGTGACATTTATGTAACAGGAGCCTAAAGAGGAGGGGGGACATTATAAATGCAGAGTGGACCTGGGATTATGACACAACACTGGCGAGACACAACACTGAAGGTTTATTATGCTCGATAGCAACACGACGGAGTAATGAACACAGTAATGCGTGCGAAGCGAACACAACTTAACAGTACTCTTTGGTTCTTTCGGTAAAGTCACGTATAAAGAGAAAATAACAAATTAAATACTAGCATACGACGTTTCGATTGCAACACAAGCAATCGTCATCAGGTATAAATGAAAGAAAACAAACCTAGTATATTTAGAAATATAATGCAATACAACACAGAGAGTCGGCTAACATAACAGTCAACACCCTACCTGGTTGATTACGTTCTTCCAGAGAATGCTACATTTGAGAGAGAGATTAAACCCAAACCGTAAACATATAGACAGACATATAAGCAGAGAGAGATAACACAGAGACACATAGAGACGCACAACTTCACAGGACACACACAGGGATTCATTCTAGCCGGGATCTGGGTCTGAACCCCGAAAAATGTGTTCGTGCACGGTACACCACGTCCTGTATACAGCTCGTGTGTATGCCAGTCTACCAGCGAGCCGGAAAATATTCAGTGAGAAATTAAGCCATGTGTACACACAATACCGCAGCAGTTAAGCTTAGAGTGAACAACAACACGATTGCAGTGAACACAATTCATAGCATAATCAACGTTTTTGGGTTTAGATCGCATTATTTATAAATGTGTCGTAACCCTCCACCACTCGACACGGCCAATCAGTAAAAAAGTGTCACGTTGACAAAAGACAAATAGTTCACTGCTTTAGCCCACCGGTGTGTTGAAGCGTGAAACCACAACATTTACAATTTGAGTACGACGTTTCGCTGGTAATTGCATCCAGCATCATCGGGCAATTCATACCAACTTGATGCACTTAAACTTGAACAAAAGGCATAGCCCATTGCAAAGATCGGTTGTAGATTAATGCACGACTAAACAGAGACGCTTAAAACAACATTTTCTTGGACATAATGTCATAGAAGGCTGCTCGTATAATATACCCAAATGTTGTTTTATTTTTATATGGTGACACAGATGCTTGCATTTAATATTTATGGAAGTATTACGTTTGGAGACTAGACTGTGAAAAAAAAACACATTTGCATTCGATTCGTTTTGAACCATAATTCGTTCGCATTGCCTGAAGTGAAATGCATAGAAATTAATTCACTCACAGTGGTTGACATTCTTTTTTAAACTCTGTCGGCTGTTTCTGTCGACGTTTGAGCTTTTCGTCTTGTGTCACTGGCGGTTCCAGACCGTGCTTCTCGTTTCACGAATAATTCTCTTGCCAAAACACTTCCATCAATGTCCTTAAAACCCGCACCCTTCCATTCTGCCCCCCCCCCCTCCCGTGTGCCGGTGTGATTCTATCGGGATTGATGTTTATGTTGATAATAGACAGTTCCATCGTTCTGTTGCTTGTGGGCATTGACCACAGCAGTTTCGGTTTTATTTGTGATGGCGCAAAAAATATAGCAAGGGGGAAGACGTAAGAGCAGATTGTGGGAGACTTTTAGGGCAGATGTTGGAGGTCGCATGTGTCTCCTGATCAGTGGCCACGGGATCTAGCAGAGGGTATTAATCCTTGGTGAGGTGTGGTGCGATTACATCTTTAGGAGGTATAATGCAAACGGTACCAATACTGGATCCATTTTCCATTCTCCATTCATGACGTTACACTCATGACCACTTCGTTTTGGTGATCCGTGTTACTCATTAAAACTAGACTCTTAATCCTGATCTCACCTGGATAAACAAAATCAGGTTGGAACCACTGAAAGCTGATGTTAAAATAGTATTCTTTACGACAAATGCAAACTTAAGCAGGACTCTTTTTTGTTTGATTTATTTAATATAATTAAAATATTTCACCTGTATAAACTCTAGAGGTGGAACACCTAATTTGCGAGGGGTGTCCAGGGTGTCGATTGACACATACACAGCAACACCGTAATGATGCCAATACAGACATTGCATATATATTACGTATTACAGTTTGTGTTTATAAATAAATATCACGCTCGGCCAAATACGTATACGTTCATAATTGAATGTTGCACACTGCATGTCCATATAGAATTTAGGTTAGCTGTAAAAGTTGCAAATTAATGTCTTGAGAGATTGGTCCAGCGCTGTTCCTGTGGGAGAGTGCGCACATTTGGTTTGACATTTGCCACTCATCTTGTCACTTAATCCGTCAGTATTGCAACCAAGAGGAAACTTGGGATCAACCATTACACCTATACATTTAAATTTAGAGAGGTGTAGTGTCAAGTACTGAGATTTTTATTCACCCACCCCACCGTGATCAATGGGATGTGTATAATAATTTTCTTGTACGTGAAGGAACCGATATGGAAAGAAGGGGCGTATTGCCTTGTTATTTATTTTGATTGACAATAATATTGGTCTGGACGGTGCATAGGTTGATGGACAAAAGCACATTTGCAATTATATAAGGACACTAACGAGTTTCGCTTTTACCCTTAATGTGTGTATTGTTGCAACCGTGGTTTTGAGTGCAATACTGCAATTGTAATGTTAAGGGGAGAGTGCATATGACGTTCATTGTTAAAATCGGAGTTACATGCACCTCTCTCGAGCATTAATCTATAAGAATGCGTGTTTGTTAATGCCGCACACACATTACTTGCAACCTTTAAATTTCTCTATCAGTACCAGAGGCTCACAGCACCAGGATAAGGCAACACAATCTTAAGACTCATTGTCAGTGTGTGAAGATCATATTTTCTGCATCTGCAGTTTTTTTTTTTATTATGCACAAGTGTACTGATCTTACGCAGTATCGTACAATTTGTATGTGTATAGCATCTACATGCGTCCATGTAGATGCTATACACATACCTCACTTGAAACAGTACATTTAGCTGTGACGGTCCCACCTGATGACAGAGACTTGTGTTGCCTCCGAAACGTCGTGATTTATTATTTTATTTCTATTATAATTTTTATCATTTTTATTTTTATTTACGTGACTTTACCGAAAAAACCTAAGAGTATGCATCCATGTATCGCGACGCCGTACAGAAGCAGTGGGTGTTTTTATTTTATAGAGAGGAAAAGAGTCAGCCAGTCACTGGAAGAGCCTGGCCCTAATTGAACAGGGGCAGGTAGTTGAAAGCACGGATGGCTGGGGGACGAGAGTTGCAGACTCTGTGGTGGCAGCAGAAGAGGAATGAGCAAATGACGTAGGTGAAAATAAAAATAATCATAAAGATAAAAATGAAAATAACTCGATTAAATCACGACGTTTCGGGCGCAACACAAGCGTCCGTCATCAGGTGGGGACAACCACAGCGAAAAAACAATCGCCAACTTCAAATCTAGAAGGTGTGAGCAACCTCACACTGAGAGAAGGTCTACTTTGGGCTTCGACAAAAAACCTTTGTTGCCGAAGCAATGTTACATCTTGCAAATGAGATGCTCTATCACGAGGGGGTTTTTCCAGGTTCAATATTTTAACAAGTGAAAATAAACGTGTAAAATTGTGATGTGCTTAGAGTGAGAGAGGTTATATGCCTGACAGCTCATTTAGAGCTGAAAATCTTGAATTGTCGGTCAACTCAGACTACCATCATCTTTGTCATCATCGTCGTCACTCTAATACTGATAACATTAGTATTGATATGTGTTACCTACCATAGTCCGTTTGAGAGATTAACCCCAGCTATAGGAATGTGGAATTTACACCAGTGATGCACGGCCACCAATGGAGATAAGTGCTGTGGTGCCATTGCATTGCGCGGGGAGACATTCAGACAGGGATTTTTTCTGTGAATGTGTTTGGTGGTTCTGTTGATATTGACGAATATTTTTGATGGAACCCGAGCTGAAGAATGTGCAAAGAAGCATGGAGAGATGCATGCTGGGAATTATTCTGAGATACAGGAAGAATAACATGTGAGTTAGAGAACATACAAAATATAAGACACAGTTTTAAAAAGTGTATTATAATACTGTGTATTATAATACTGTGTATTATAATACTGTAACATGTCAGCCAGTGCAGTCATATTTTGGTTTATATTATTCTTTGTAGTCTCTTGACACTTCAAATAAAATGTTTGCGTTTTAGGCAACTCCGTACTTTGCGGGAATAAATTATCCTAATCCTTTACAAAATGGAATAAATTCAACTTCTGGTGGTTCGTTGTGAATTTCCGCCAAGAATGCAAGCTCTGAGTTACTCTTTAGGTCAGTGACGTGGCCCAGCAGTCACGTGTTCACCACTTGCTGCAGGGTCCATGGTTCCATTACAGTGGCCACACGGAATATTACTGCGAGCATAATGACTTTATTCATCGTCGCCATCTGCTTGGCAGTGGACCTTCATGATCCCCTGACGTCGTTTTCAAGAGTAGACCAATGTGTGCCGATGTCCGCATCCGGATTTTTTAAAACACATTCCTGCGGAGGGAGCTGGTAGAAACGTTGGGTTGCTCGGTCAATGGCCAGGGTCAACGGCGGCGTGGTGTATTCCGCAAATATGGCCGACTTTGAGGGCGGGCACAAGCCGGCGTGAGTAGGTTAAACGTTGAGTTTTATAAGGGCACCACGGGGTGACCAGCCCCTCCCCATCCAGCCCCACCCCTCCCACCTCCCCACCAGCCCCACCCTCCCCACCCAGCCCCTCCCCACCCTCCCCACCCAGCCCCACCCGTCCCACCCAGCCCCTCCCCACCCTCCCCTCCCCACCCAGCCCCTCCCTGCACGACGGACGGACGGACACAATAATCCCCTGTGGGCTGGTGGAACCAGTGGGTTCCTACCAGTATTACAATATTACCTGCAAATTACTCAATTGGGATTAAACATAGCAAACATTTCCCCCCACTGGCAGACTTTTGCAAGTGAGACTATCGTGGTCTCTTGAGTTCTCACCTGGTTAAACAGATAAACTTGAAACTTTAATCGTCACACAAACACACACATGCGGTCGGGTGGCTCGGGGCTCAGCGATGCTGAGGCGGTTTTGACCTCCCTGTGATTAATTGGTAAATACTGAGTCTTTACCCAATGACTGAGTCTTTACCCAATGACTGACATAGAGACCCGCAGACTCGCAAACAACGGCCATACATTTGCATAAGCTAATTTATTAAACCGGGTTCTCAAGTGTGACAAGCTGTTGAATTCAGCCTCGTCACAAATGACATCGTATCTCGTGATTTCACCTCTTGTGTTGTCATATTGTGTTATTGTCCTGTGTTGTCACGTGCCATCCTGTTGTGTCGTCCTGTCGTGTTGTCATGTTGTCTCTTGTGTTCTGTTTCGATTATCTTTTGTGGTTGTGTGTTGCGTTGTCATTTTGTTTATTGAGTTATGTTATCAAGCGTACCTAGTGACCGAATAACCGTCCAGCATCGGCTCTCCCCTTTGCATCACTGCTGAGTCCCACACGGAGTAGGCTTGTTCGTGTTGTCGCGTCGCAATGTCTTGTCACGTCACACCGTGTCAGCTAGTGCACTGACCGAATAACCGGCCCGCGTCTTCTCTCGTTGTATCACAGTTGAGTCCCGCACGGAGCAGGCATGTTTGGCGCTCCAAAGAAGCGGTTCGGGGAGGAGGGAGAGCCCGAGTTTGATGGAAACATGTACTTCAACCAGTCGAGTGTCTTCTCACACAGGCCCGACAAAGACGTGAGTCTCGGAGCGTGCCAGGGTGCTAGCAACAGTGTGGTGTATCGGAGTGTGCGAGTGAGAGAGAGGGGTGCCGTGGGAGTGGTGTGTGCGCGCGAGTGGGAGGTGGGTGTGCTAAAGGTGACGCGAGTTGGGACCTGTACTGACGCTGCCTCTGCTGTGCGACGTTTCCCTCTCAGATGCTGGGCTCTCCGTCACCATCGGGTCAGCTGTCTCAGTTTGGCGCAAGCCTCTACGGCCCACAAAGTATGTCCTCATTTAATTTAATTAAATGTACATATATATGAACAGTGTATATGCTTCGATTTAAAGCTTTCGTGACTGCAGGGATTCATCTTCTTGGTTCTTTCGGTAAAGTCAAGTAGAATGGAAATAATAAAATAATACAAATAAAACAATAAAATAATTCTCACGACGTTTCGGCCACAACGCAAGCAGCCGTCCTCAGGTGGAGAACAGGCCTGTCAGACTGTCTTCTCGACAGACCTGTTCTCCACCTGAGGACGGCTGCTTGTGTTGTGGCCGAAACGTCGTGAGAATTATTTTTTTCTGTTTTATTTTTATTATTTTATTATTTCCATTCTACGTGACTTTACCGAAAGAACCAAGAAGAGTGTATATGCTTGTTTAACTAGGAAAGCCTCTTTAGTCTCACTAATGAATTGCCTGAAAACATCTCAAAATAAATACCCAATGGGGGACCCTCCAGAAAATGAGTCTTATGACTCAGTCTGGCTCTTCTGGATAATTACTTAATTACTTTCAGGAAGGTCCTGCTAAGTTGTTCGCAGTACGCGAGTGATGTTGCTGCATCGTGTAATCCCAATTAAGTAATTTGCAGGTAATATTTTCAGTATTGGGATGTTCAACCAATACTGAGTACATTGTATGTTGTGTTTAGCTATGAGAGGAAACCCATGTCAAACTGGGAGAGAATATACACACTCCACACAGAAAGGCTGCCAGATCGGGAATTGAACCCAGAAACTTTTTGCCGTGAAAGGCAAACGTTATCAATGTGCTACAACCCTGTCGCCATGAATGTTGTAATACTCCTCTCTGAAAATATTAAATTAGGATTTAAGCCAGGGTCCGAAGTGAGATCCCTCATGAAAATACATTCCTGCGGAGGGAGCTGGTGGGAACGTTGGGTTGCTCGGTCAATGGCCAGGGTCAACGGCGGCGTGGTGTATTCCGCAAATATGCCCGACTGTGAGGGCGGGCACAAGCCGGCGTGAGTAGGTTAAACGTTGAGTTTTATAAGGGCACCACGGGGTGACCAGCCCCTCAACACCCCGCCCCACCCCTCTCACCCCCACCCAACCCCACCCTCCCCACCCAGCCCCTCCCCACCCAGCCTCTCCCTCCCCACCCAGCCCCTCCCTGCATGACGGACAGACACAATAATCCCCTGTAGGCTGGTGTAACCAGGAGGTGGCTACCAGTAGAAATTTTGAGATTCACTGAAGATTTCATGAATACAGATCAGTCAATATGCGAATATTCACAGATCAGGGAATATCAGCAAGTTAGAGGTATGATTTGCCTAACTTACATTTTCAGCTTTAAGTGAAAACAGAATTTTTTTTAACTAGATAAAAAGAATGGTATATTATTCTAACTGTACTGCGTGTGTGCTTGTGTTCACCCGCTCCAGACCCGCTGGGTCTTCAGATGCGTGGAATGGGGGGCACAGCCCCGCAGCTCAATCGGAGTTTATCGCAGGGTGCCCCCTTGCCAGGACACGTGACCCCTACGAGTGTGGGGCCCCCTATGCCGCCACCACATGCGCCGTCATCACCCAGCCGGTACGTCCCCCCCCACCCCCCGTTCACTCTATCATAGTGGAACTGCCGCAATGGTTTAATGGTTCAGCAGCACACTGGACTTGCTATCCAGAGGTCGCCGGTTCTATTAAATCTCTCGATGCGGAAGGTGGAACAACAATGCTAGTTCCTGAAACTCCCGTCCCCCGGCCTCTGTCCACCCAGCAGTATAAATGGGTGCACCACGGTTGGTAGATCGACAGGGCTTGTGTGGTGCGGTAAAGTGTGGGTACTGCCACCTCTTGGAATACGTTGGTCAACTTGGAAGAGTAGACCAAATAACCCTTAATATTTCACTCTAGTGGAGGCTGTTCTGCCATCGGTGGCGTGAGAAAGCACTTGCGGGACTGCACCTTCACCTTTTTTGGCGCTTTAATATTTAATGTTTCTCATACTTGGAGCAATTTCATGTCTGCACTGCGTTTAGAAAACCATTCCATCCCTGTCGGATCTCTGGTCACCTCTTTCGATGACTGAATTTTCACACGCTTGGTTTCACTAAATAATGGACATGGCGTGAAATGGAGGACAATATTTTCCCAGTCGTATCGTAAGCAGCAATTTGACCCGAGCGAGCAACAGCATCAGGGACATCTGTGACATCCGGCAATGACGACGGCAACTGCACAACAGCAAGGCTGTTGAAGGCAGAGGCGGTGCTGCTAGAACTCGAAGGCATGTGACCGTATGAGGTTCAATACTCAATTGGGGCGGTGATGTGGCCCAAGCGGTAACACGTTTGCCGCTTATTACAGAGGCTCGCGGTCCGAATCTGACAAGCCGCCCTGGTTATCGCTGCGGGTGTGTTTACTAACCAATAAAATACTACGCACGCACTCTGCTTCTTCACAGTTGAATTTAAAGATCCCGTGACATAATTCGCAACAATAGGCCATCGTGTGCCGGTGTCATGGTCCACATTTTTTCGAAATGATCCGCAAATTACTCGATTGGAATGACACATACAGTAGCAAACATCGCCCCCTACTATTAGAGTAATGCTCACTTTGTGCCGCACAGAGATAGCTGCCACTAGGAGTGCCCTTGGAATATGTCGATTAGATGCAACGTAAGACGCTTATTACGTGGAAAGTGCTCTCTAAGATGCCCCAGCGTAAACGAGTGTGCTGTGTCCAAAATAAAAAATTTAATATTATTTTTCTTACAGAATTGTTTTCTGATCGCTCCAGAGCGGTGGCCGGCTAACCGCCCCGTTCTGTTGATCGTTTGCGCGCCAAATCTTCTCCAGGGGCATCCTGGCGCTGAACCCACGGATGAACCACGTGCAGCCCATCGGCCTGTCAAACCGTGCCAATGCAGTGGGCTCCTCTGGCATGGGCAGCCCCAACCGCAGTTCACCAAACCTGCTGTCCATGCAGAAGCAGCCGCCACCGCCGCCGCCACCGCAGCAGCAGCAGCCACCGCGCAGCACCTACGGCTTAGGAGGGTGAGTTGAACTTCAGATGTGGCCACGTAATGATCCGGTCCAATTTGTGCCGTGTTGATCTTCCACCCGGCATGGTCAAACAAATGAAATTGTCACGTGGTGTAAAGGCGTTTTAACAACACGCTCATCGTTATTGTTTCAGCTCGTTGACTGTTGAGTTGAACAATTCTCGCAACCAGATTTAGCGATTAGGTACGTGGCATTTAGCTGGAAACTAATTCAAGCATTTTTGGCAGAATCCAGGAAGTCAGAATATCATGTAAGAAGCTGGGTCAGGTGACATGGTTATTCTGACTTCTTGGATTTTTGTTGTCGGGATGTGTTACGAATGACGCTCAATAAAAGCTGCGGAATGAATGAAATGTTAGGAATGACGTTGAATAAATAAAAATAAGGCAATTTATAACGCGCGCAAATTTGCGGACGTAACGGCCGCAACTCAGAGGCGCGGAGCCAAGCTCAGAGTCGCTCGAAAGCACGTGGTTGTAGAGGTGAGTTTTTAAGTATCTCTTGAAGGAGTCGATTGAGGTGATACTGCGAATGTGCAGAGGGATAGCATTCCAGACTTATGAATGAAGTGGAATGATTAACCCCTGCTTGTGCTGTGCGGCTGTGATGTGTTTGGCCATCAGGATGTCAGGATTTGGCCTTGGCAGGAGCCAGGGTTACAGTCTGAGCAACGCGATCACCAACAACAGCTACAACAGCACGGGTAAGTGAGTTGAAAGCACTCACCCCGATGGTTCGGGTGCCCTATCAGAAACAATTTACTATTATTTTGTGGGTAACAGTGGTGGAAACAGAAAGAGGAACAATTGGATTCTAGAACATACTCGGGTCAATGACATCATCCAATCTGTATGTCATAAGAGTTACTGGGCTCCAGCACGACATGCCCCTAGCGAGAAGGGATAATGGCCGATGGTCAACAATGAGTGGCAGTCAAAGAATGGAATGACCCCGAGAGGACGTCCACCGTGGAGATGGAGTGATGAGATTAGTTTGTGTCCAGGTGCTGGGTAGATGGTTGCATCGCAGGAGCATATAGAGGTGGTGCCAGCTTTGGGACACCTTAATCCACCTCTGTATCGACCATGGCTGATGATGGTGAAGAACGGTGGGTGATGGTGGTTGTGTCTGCGTGAGGAGCGGTGGCGTAGCGGTGAGCGCTACGCTGCGCTACGAACCCGGCGACCCGGGTTCGATTCCCGCTCACGGCCAACACCAGGGACGATTATCTGAACCGATCCTGGGCCTCCCCGAGGTCGACTCAGCCTCAAATTAGTACCTGGTGCGATGTGTAAACATCGCCGCTAGGGAGACAAAGGCGACCGGGCGTGGTGCTGGCCACCCACCTCCTTCGTGTGCCGTGCCGGCCTTTATAGGTGCTCGCTAACAGCACTAGCCCCTACAGTCTGTTACAGACTTTACGGGGGATCTTTGTCTTTGCGTGAACAGGAGGCAGCGATACGGTGGCCGGGTTGGATCTGTCTGACTTTCCGGCGCTCGCAGAACGGAACAGGAGAGAAAGCAACGGCAACCCAGCGCCCCTCCCCAACCCCATGGCTGGCAGGACGCCATATGGTACGCGGGTTAGGGTTATAGCAGAACACATATGGTCCGCACGCACATTGAATGAAGCTTTGGGGGGTAGGGTCTCCACAAGACGTATACACACATAGTACAATATAGTGTGAAATTAATCTGTGGGCCATAGGAAAGGATTTCAGCAGGCCATATGCTATGAATCTGTCGACTGTATGCTATGAATCTGCATGTCATATACTATGAATGTACAGGCCATATGCTCTGGGCGGGCTATATGAAATGGGGTCACGGGCCACGTTTGGCCCGTGGGCCCGGATCCCCCCCCCTGCCTTGCTCTAGCAGGCCGTGTGTGCTTGCCGTGTGTGCTTGCCGTGTGTGATTGCCGTGTGTGATTGCCGTGTGTGATTGTCGTGTGTGATTGCCGTGTGTGATTGCCGTGTGTGATTGTCGTGTGTGCTGCCGTGTGTGATTGTCGTGTGTGCTTGCCGTGTCTGCTTGCCGTGTGTGCTGCCGTGTGTGATTGTCGTGTGTGATTGTCGTGTGTGATTGTCGTGTCTGCTTGCCGTGTCTGCTTGTCGTGTGTGCTTGCCGTGTGTGATTGCCGTGTGTGCTTGCCGTGTGTGATTGCCGTGTGTGCTTGCCGTGTGTGCTGCCGTGTGTGATTGCCGTGTGTGCTTGCCGTGTGTGCTTGCCGTGTCCCACAGTTGGCATGGTGACAAAGCCCGCGAGCGAACAGCCCCAGGACTTCTCAATCCACAACGAGGACTTCCCGGCACTGCCTGGCGTGAACCTCAACAAGGAGCCCACGGCCGCACCCGACGACAATAAGACGGTGCGTGAGGGGTTCAGAAAGTCCGAGATGATGGGCCGGCGCTATTGAGAACCTGGTTTCAACTCCGGCTCTCTTGCCACGCATCCGAGATTTAACTGGGTTCTGCAAGGTGATCATCTCGGATGGGGGGAGTGTTTCATTCGGGGCACAGAAACCGACGGGCCACTTGCTGTCGATATTACTGAATATCAAAGTTCTGTTCATGTTGTGTCATGTTCACAAGAGTCAACTCCCCCCCCCCACCCCATGATGGACAGATGGACGGAGTTAATTCGTACAACATTTCGACCATCGTGGGCATGGCCACGAAGGTAATTGTTTCCGTGCGCGTTTGTCGCTGAACTTTGCCGTATTTTTTTTGTGAATGCAGCTGACCAATCAGAGCGGGCAGACCACGGGGTCGGTGACGGAGGGACCCAAGTTCCCTGGAGACAAGGGCAGCAACACCAATGCGAACCAGCAAAAGAAGGGCATCCAGATCCTTCAAGACGGTAACCCCTGCGTAGCACCCACAGCAATGGGCTCTCTGCTTCTCTGACCACTGAACAGAGGTCGCAAACGGGTTTTGATTCCTTAACCGTACCCGGCCGCACCAGGGTCGCAAACAGGTACCCATACCTGTACCCGGCCGTACCCGTACCCTACCCGGCCGGGTACGGGTAGGGTACGGGTATCGGGTACCTGATTGCGACCTCTGGGATGAAGCCATGTTGCAGGCGCGGGTGGGTTGATTCTAGGAACTTGAATTGTGAGAAGAGACAAGACGTTGGGAAATGAGTGACAAACAGTTACTCACAAGTGACTCACGGCCTACCCCGGCCGCACCAGGGTCGCAAACGGGTACCCGTACCCGGCTGGGTACGGGTAGCCGGGTATCGGGTAGGGTACGGGTATCGGGTACCCGGTTGCGACCTCTGCCACTGAGCCACCTGGCCTCGGAGTGGAACCCACTCGTCTCTAACCAATGAGCCACTGTTTTAAAGGACGTGTCTTTTTTTTTTTGGTGGTGGTGGTGGTGACGGTGGTGCTGGTATGAACAGGCCGCGTGACGAACATCCCGAGCGGGATGGTGACGGATCAGTTCGGCATGATCGGCCTCCTCACCTTCATCCGGGCGGCTGAGACGGAACCGTCTCTCGTGCACCTGGCTCTCGGCAGTGACCTCACCACACTCGGCCTCAACCTCAACTCCCCCGAGTACGCGCGCATGTGCACGCTGAAATGAGTACCCGGTGCGGCGTGTAAACATCAGCGCCGGAGAGACAAAGTTCGGCCGGACATGGTGCTATGACCCCCTCGTGTGCCGTGCTTGCCTTATTAGATGCTCACTAATTGGTGCTCGTGTGTTAGCGTGTGCGTGTGGTGTATTGGTGTCTGGAGTGTGTGTAGTGTGTGCGCGTTTGTGTGTGTGTGCAACCGGGCATGGTGCTGGCTACACCACCCGCCATGTGCGCCATGCCTGCCTTCATAGCCGCTCACTAACAGCACTTAAAAGATATGTCTTGAGCGTGTCCCACACGACGTAGAAATGCCAATTCATATTAAGATACAGAATTTTGTGTGCGCACGCACGATCTCTCAATTTAACGTAAAGCAGCGGGACCCATTGACAAATCGTCGCACGCATGCAGCGGGTAATGGCTCGATCTGTATTTGAACGGGAAAGATTGCTAACCGCAGTGGGACACAATGGATGGGGATTTTTGGAAACTCTTATTTAACCTTGGAACCTTTGTCCACCGTTGGCACGGAGCGGGAGGAGGGCAGCCGTCTCCGTTTTAACGTTGTCTGGTCGTTCGTCCCTTTATCGTTTGCTGGTTTTCTTCTTGCCAAGAAGAAGGTTTGCTTTGCTTTTCAGGAACCTCTACCCCAAGTTCGCGTCGCCATGGGCAGAAGCGCCGTGCAGACCTCAGGATATCGGTAACGTGCCACCTCCGATCACACCGGTTCCGGCACGCGTGCACGATGACCGCACCTGTGCCACCACCTTTCGGGGTAGTCGCGTGAATTAATCCGCCACCGAGCGTGTTTAATGTTGTACACGGATTGTGAAATAAAAATTAAAAAATCTAGATTTTTCCACTGGCACAACCGAGCCGTGCCAGGGCCATGCCAAACCAGCCCAGCACGGCCCAGGAGGCGCCAGGTCGTTTTTCCACTGTGGAGGCCCTGCTTTGCCACTGACGTCGCACTCAACGAATGAGTTGAGATCCGTGTAGATAACGCGGAGACGTCGTGTTCTCGCTGTCCACTGGCTGTGAGGGAGTATTGAGATGAGGGGAGAAGTAGGAGAGTGCGTGGAGGGGAGTAGAGTGAGATGAGAGGGGAGAGGTAGGAGAGTGCGTGGAGGGGAGTAGAGTGAGATAGGCGAGGAGAGGTAGGAGAGTGCGTGGAAGGGAGTAGAGTGAGATGAGAGGGGAGAGGTAGGAGAGTGTGTGAAGGGGAGTAGAGTGGGATGAGAGTGGAGAGGTAGGAGAGTGATTGGAAGGGAGTGGAGTGAGATGAGAGGGAGAGGTAGGAGAGTGCGTGGAGGGGAGTAGAGTGGGATGAGAGGGAAGAGGTAGGAGAGTGCGTGGAGGGGAGTAGAGTGAGATGAGTGGGGAGAGGTAGGAGAGTGCGTGGAGGGGAGTAGAGTGAGATGAGAGGTGAGCAGTGCTGGGTCCGTGGAGGATCTTGCCAATGAAACCAAGTTGTGTCTTCTCAGGGTCCTCCTGCGAGAGCGATGCTTTACGCACATCCATAGCAAAGCTGGATCAGCGCGCCCATTTCAGTTTCATTTCAGTTTCATTTATTAGGTATAGCCCTGTGAGCCATTCGGCTCTCGAATCGGGTGCAACCGCAACAAACAAAAGACAAAAACATGAACAATAAAACATCTTAAAGTCACTGTGTGACTATGTGCAAACAGAAAATATAGGAAAAAACAGCAAAATATTTCAGAAAAAGCACTGTACACCAACGCTGTGTGCAAAAATCCCAGAGGGATGCAAGTCAAACAACAACAAAAACCACAAGACAACTTAGATTAAGGCCATCAGTCTATAACTCCGTACTACAACAAACAAACATGGCCAAACCAAAAAAACTTTTCGAAATCACCAAAATAAAGCCATAAAAGCAATGTAACAGTGATCATTAAGTGGCCTTACGCGCAAATGTGTTTTAATGCCTTTTAATGTGACTCTCCGCAGATTTTCACGTTCCTTCAGAATACCTGACGAACATTCACATCAGGGATAAGGTGAGAACATGTTTGCTTCATTGGAGCACTTGCCCCAACTGTCTATCTAGGCTACATGAAGGACCATTGTATATACAGTGAAACCTTAGATTGCGCGAGTAACTTGGTCTGCGAGTGTTTTGCAAGACAAGCAAAACATTTTCATAAATATTAATTTGATAAACGAGCGATGTCTTGCAATACGAGCAGTGCGTACAGTATACGCTTTGTCTGCCGAGCGTCACGTGATCACAACTGAGCCGATGGTTCTTCTCCCTCTCTCGCTGCGGGATTGTGGGTAATCATCTCCCATGCTCGGTCTCAGTCGGCGTGCCTCACTCGTATAGTCAACATCCGTGCGAGCGTATACTGTTTACTATAGCGTTGTGACCACGTGTGTGTGTGCGCAAAACATTTTTTTTATTTTGTGTCCAAGTGTAGTGACTGTTCTTTAGTAACTACTGCAAGTGAAAGTCATCCTACACAATAACCCTCCTCCTCCTCTCCCTCACACCAGCCACAATTAAATTTAATTAATACATTTCATTACATTATATGAAGTTTAAATACAAATATAAAAAGGTACAGTATTTTGTATTAATCATTTTTACATGAATATTTTTGGGTTGTAGAACGAATCATCTGAGTTTCCATTATTTCTCATGGGGAAATTCGCTTTGATATACGAGTGCTTTGGATTACGAGCACGTTTCTGGAACGAATTATGCTCGCAATCCAAGGGTTCACTGTACTTGTTTGTGTGTCTATGTAGTGCTGGCATTCATAGGTGCTACTCGCTAACAGCACTTGCCCCAACAGTCTATTAAGGCTATACGGTGGATATTTGTGTGCCTGTGCGTGTCTGTGTGGTTATACGTGTGCCTGTGCGTGCGTGTGCCTACAGCTTGCTCCCATCAAGCTGAGTCGGTACGGGGAGGATCTGCTCTTCTACATGTACTACACCAACGGGGGCGACATCCTGCAACTTGCCGCGGCGGTAGAACTGTGAGCCCCCTACACTGACACCGGCATGCACGGTTGAGTCGCTCGCTCGCTCGGCCACAGTCGGTCGTACGCATAGAGAACCAACCATCGTGGAGATGGAGCGATCGATGAGGTCGACTCACGCGCAGGAGCGGCCTGGATTGTTGTTTCATGGGACGGTGAGGAAGGCAATGATAGAGGGAGTCCAGCAGTGGATAGTCCACGGCTAAATGATCCCCATGACAGTACAGTGGTGCCTCGGTATACGTCGTTAATTCGTTCCAGAAGGTAGGAGGACTTATACCGAAAATGACGTGTACCAAACGAATTTTTCCAATAAGAAATAAAGGGAAAGGAAATAATCCGTTCCAGAGTATAAGAAATGATATTTTATATGGCATATTATACATTAATGGGGTTGTATAAAATCATTTAGACACTACTTATTACTAAAATGCATACATAAATTAAAATAAATGCGTAAATAAATTTAAATTAATTGAAATAAAAATAAAATTTAACGTCACTTTACCTTGCTGAGAGGAGTTAAAATTACAAAAAGACGTGAAAATTCACAGAGAGTTCTAGCAAGGGTTGTGCACTGAACGAGATCTACAGGCAGACTGAGGAGCGGCGCTTTGTTTCAGTCGTGAACGGGGTCTACGCGGGTACGCGGTGACTCATCCCGACCCATACAAGTTCTAGCAAGCGCGTCGTATCCCAAGCAAGACGTCGTATCCCAAGGCATTTTTTTTCTCTCGTCAAAACACGACGTATGCCAAATTCGACATATTCCAAAGCGGTCGTATACCGAGGTATGACTATTTCTTTTTTCTCTATCGAGAGCGAACTTGGTTGAAGAATGATTAAGACAGACCCAAACATTACGAAACAATCCATTGCAACGTGTTACCGTCAACAGATAATCAGAAAACAACGTTGCATTGCAGTTCCACGTCTTGACCACCAGGTGTCAGCGTTTCTCAATCTTGAGCCTTCATCGCTGAAGCCGGGGCAACCGACGGCTGCCGCCACTTGGCCACGTCGATGCCACCGCCACCACTGTGGCCTTCACCGCGACCTCGGCTCTCTCCGCAGGTACAACCGCGACTGGCGGTACCACAAGGACGAGCGGGTGTGGATCACGCGGGCGCCCGGCATGGAGCCTCAGATGAAGACGAACACGTACGAGCGTGGCACCTACCTCTTCTTCGACTGCCACAACTGGAGGAAGGTCGCTAAGGTGCGTGCCGTGTGCGCGTGCTATGTCCGTTCTGTGTGCGCGTGCTATGTCCGTTCTGTGTGCGCGTGCTATGTCCGTTCTGTGTGCTCTGTGTGGGTGTGTGTGTGTGTGTTTATGAATGGGGAGCGGCGGTGGTGCAGCGGTTATCGTGCCGTGCAATGAACCCGGCGACGTATAACTGAACTGGTGGTAGGCTTACCCCTAGGTCGGCTCAGCCTTAAATGAGTACCGGATGCAATGCGAAAACATCACCGCTGAGGGGGACATAGACAGCCGGGAGTGGTGCTGTGCTGGGCAATCCACTCACGTGCATGCCGTGCCGCCCTTAATATCTGGTCACTAACAGCACTTGCCCAAAAAGTGTTGAAGTCTACGTGGGGGATCTTTGTATTTGATCTTTTTTGTGTTGGTGTGTGTCTTAGTATCCGTCAGTGAGCCTATGGCACTTCACATGACCTCACGTTGCATCTAGCCTGGCCCAAGCGTTGTAGTGGCATCACACCGTCACTTGGATGGCTGTCGTTGTTATTTCTGTATTTCTCTTAGTGTGTCAGTGGACTACTTTCTGATACCATTCGTACCTTGGTATGTGTTTTGTTGCGTGCGTGCGTCCGTGCCAATGAATGTGCTATCGTCCGTATGGTTCCACGCGCGTGTACCGTACCACGCGTTTGCTGCCGTCGGCATTTGTGCGCGCGCGCATTCTCGTCCGCGTTCTCCCTCTCACCACGCCGCCGCTCCGTGCACTCCGCCCCGCGCAGGAGTTCCACCTGGAGTACGACAAGCTGGAGGAGAGGCCCCACCTTCCCACGTCGCTCAACTACAACCCGGCCCAGCAGGCTTTTTGATCCCAGAAGCATCTGCTGGGGGCCCCCCGGCCCACACCACACTGCGACTCGCGCCGGCCCAAAACTTTTGGTGACGGCAGCGGGAATCCCTTTAACAAAAAAAACCACGCAAACAAACAAAAAAAATTGACGTCCCTGTTTCTCCCCCCTCCCCCCGCGCCCCCCCCCCCCCCTCATCTCGCGTCGCTGCCCGTAACAACGCGAGCTTTGACGGAAACTGCGCACATTCCCCGAGATTCAGGGCAGCCGAGGAACTCTATTTTTTCAGACTCCAAAAAAAAACCACAAGAGCGATCGTAGACGTAGGCGGTTTTCAGATTCAGAGATTTCAAGGCCCCCACCCACCCACCTCCTCCTGTCTGCCACACTGCGTAAGTCCATGCCTCATTTCTCATGGGTGCACCTCCCCTGACTCCACCCTCCTCCACCCCCCCAACAATTCTCTTCATAACCCTCTGCCCCCCCCCCTCAGCACACACGATGGCGGTTTCATCATTACAATTTGGAGCATCAAGCGGGTGAGAAAATAACAGCACGGAACAGAACGGCGCGAAAAGGGATGATCTGGCAAACGTGTAATGCATTCAGTCGCTGCTGGCGATGACGATGGTGGCAGTGGCTCTTTAAGGACAAACAGCTGACGAGTCTCGTCTCCCGCGTGTCTGCATTGTGTGATTTGTAGCAAAGGCCATTGGGGTTTTGCCTGAGATTGTGAGGATGAAGTGTGGAGGTTTTTTGTTCTGGGCGGAGGTCTGTTTAGGAGGGTCGGTGACTCTTGAGTGCGAGTGAACGAGTGGATTGTAACACTTTGACTAAATAACTTATGTTCCCGGCAAATGCACACAAATGCATGACAAAGACACCCAGGCTTACACAGACACGGGTGTACGGAGCAACGTACACACGGACACGTGCAATGGCACACACAGACACGTGGACAAAGATGGACACAGGCGTACACAAACACATGGACATTTGGACACAGGCTTCTCTGGGCACAAGCTCACAGATACAAGTATGGGCACACAAACTTAACGCACAAGCACACAGGCTCCTATTGAACAGACAAACACACCGACTGTCACGCCTATGCACAAACACTGACACTTGGATGCACACGGACACACACAGCAAGGTACACACACATGGACACGGGTAGACGCACGGGACGCATAAATACAGTACTGCAAATACAAACACTGAGAAAATGCAAGGGGGGCCCTCTCTTTCCAACTCGTTCACAACAAAGCTTCATTCTAGAATCAGTCTTCAGTCAAATCTCAGCATAGGCTCCTTTCAACTTGGGTGTCCTTAGCGACTGCCCTCCGTATTCACGAGATGTCGTCCACGGTCTTTCATCAGTTGGGTTTTCATCCATCGCTACACCCCCATTGCTTAGGATCTCCAAAACAATGTTTCATCGTAAGTGGCCGAGCGAGCGCTTGCAGCAATCTGATGGTGCCGCGGCCGCTGCTGCTGCTGGAGCGAGTTTTACGGGTTTCTCTGCCGTGCTGTGGTTTGTGTGAGCGCCACTCAAAAGTTAATTCCGTGTACATTCCTAATTTCGAGAGTGTGGTGGCCCTCAGTCGGAGAGGAGAGGCAGCAGTGGGTGGGTTTGAGCACGTGCGATAGTACACCAGCATGGGAGTGGATGGTGGTGTGGCCGTGGATAGGTTTGCACACCACAGCGCGATGGATGGATGGTTGTGATTGTAAAGCCCGTGTTCTTAGTCACCGCTCGGCTCGTGCTTAGTTCCCTGCTCATTGTGAGCCAGCTAAAAGGCATGCTTCACTTGAGCCGGCTCTGAGCAATCATCCCAATCATGCTCAGGATTTCCATGAGCCGAGACCGAGCTAAGACATGGCCGAGTTGCCCATGCGACATTGAAAGCAGCTCAAGTGTGAGCGGAGTCGCTGCCAAACCAGAGCCGAGCCATGACTTATAAGACGGCCCTAAGCATTCAAAGGTCAACTTGGGATTGCGATGGCATGGACGCGTGTGCGACATTCGGTGGCAACCCCCTGCACTTTGCGTAGCTAGGCAGTACACGTCTGCCCTTAATCCGCCCACACACATAATCCAGGAGCAGATTTTTTTTTATTGATTTCATTGGGAGTTATTTTTTTGTTTTGTGTTCCTCCTGAACGTGTTAAGTTATGCATTGCACCTGTTACAATGGGAACTCCGCAATTCAGAGCATCTGGGTTCGTGAGTAATCCAAGGCGTGACTTTGTACCTGCCGCAGAAATCCACGTGTTGGGGGGGAGCATAGGCATGGCAGGTAGGTAGGGTGGATATTTGCAGCTAGCTTTTCGAAGTCTTGATGTGAACTTGCGTGTGTATGTGTGCGCACGCGTGGGGGAGTAGTGGCACAGTGGTCGGTGCGCTACGAACCCGGTGACCCGATTTCGATTTGTGCTCATGGCCAATATCAGTGGTGAAATTGGCACAATTCCTAGGCCACTCTAGGTTGACTCGGCCTTAAATCAGTAGCTTGTACAGTGTGTAAACATTAGCACTGGGAATACAAAGGCGGCCGGGTGTGGTGCTGGCCACACCACCCCCTCATGTGCCCTGCGGACCTTCATAGGTGCTCGCTAACTAAATTTGCCCATCAGCCTGTGTTGGCTACACGGGAGATCTTTGTCTTGTAGATGTGCTTATGGATGGGTGTCGCAGAGTTTTGAAGACTGACCAAATAATCCCGCAAACCCCAGCATCCCTACCTGGCCCACTGCCCATCACGACTCATGGCAGCTGGCATCTGGAATCTTAATTTAATCCTCTCCCCTAGGTCTACTCAGCCAAGAATGAGTTCCTGTTGCGTTGGTATGGTCATCAACACCAGCAGTGGGTGGACAAATGCAGCTGTGTGTGTGTGTGTGGAGCTGGCCCTACTACCATCTTGTGTGCTGCTTCGGCCTTGATAGGTGCTCACAAAACTCACCCCGCCTCTCGTTCGTTCCAAGCAAATCAAAACGCATTTCGCAAGCGAATGTTGTGATGTCAAACAAACTGCAGGAGTGTGTGCTATCCTTTGCGGACCATAGACTCTTGAGAGTGAATCGTCATGATCACGGCAATCATGATTGTCATGCATACCATCAACAACGGCATCAACAGCAATTCATTTCTCCTGGTGTAAATCGCCCTTCCTGTATTTACAATTCCTCCTGGGGGGCTCTGTCCAGTTGGATATTGGATATTTTTTTTTGTCAAACGGATAAGGGCCCCCCACCATCCGTGCCAATGCCACATCGTTTCATTTGCAGATCCGTTCATGGCAGTGTCACGTTTGAAAAGCATTCCCCACTCGCCAGACCAACATATCCGTTATTTAGTTGATGAGAGAAATTTCATACTGGTCGCAGAACTGTATTGAAACAGAGGAACTTTATATATATTTTGTGTCTGAAAACCCGCAGTGAAATAGAATTGCTTCTTTATTGGTTCTGTAGCTGTCATGGAAAAGTCTGACCTAGTGACAGAGATGCGTGCATTGTGTTAGCCTCGAAAACCAAACACGAGGAACAAAAAATTGACAGAGACGTAATTTAGCGAACTGCCCCACATTTTTGCCCAAACGATTTGGGCCACTTAATTTCGATGATTTTGCTCAAGCGCGGGGGAAGGAAATGCGTGGCGAGAAATTTTCTGGGATGACTTCAACTGTTGAGATGTTGGCTGTGTGGCGTGATGGACACCACGTGTGCGAAGGCGTTGGCATCTTTGAAAAACCAAGCAGTAACGACGACCCCTCCTGATCCGTATTTGTTTTTTTTTTGGGTTCGGCCACGTAATCGTTTAATGCCAGAAAGTACGTGTGCTACCTTTGTGGACCAAGTACTTTAACAACATAATTTTGGCATTCATGATGTAGCCTAACCCAAAAACAAATGCGAATCATTGTATTGACTGCGATAACTTGTGTATTTAGTTAACACAACTCTCAATCTTATCGAGGTTAAACAAACAACCGTCTCGCAATCCGAGCTGGAAACATGTTCAAACTGCCTCTCAAACTCGCTTGGTCTTAAGAGGGTGGCCGAGTCCCATATTACAGGCACACGCCGCTCTACCCCAGTATATCGCATCATTTCTCGCCGAGTCCTCACTCCAATTGCCATCATGCACAGCCCTCTCAGTCCTGACTCTGCCCCACAACCCCTCTGTGTTCGTTCATACTGTACAGCATTTTTTTGACTGTGCCTGTAAAAACACACACGTACATACACGCGCACGCGTGCATACCATTCGGACCATATCGCAGCGAAATTGGCAGCGACTATTTACGAGTGAGCGGTGATCGTGAAATGCATGAGCGTAGTTTCGTTAGTTCCGCCAGCCCAGCTGGTCGTGAAGGCCCTTCTCAACAGTTCCAATTCCAGGTTGTGTACCCTGTGTTGATCAGCTAGATGTCTGCCGTTACGTTTCACATGCTCGGAGCTTCTTGGGAAACTCATTTCAGTTGCAACTGAATTCAAGTGCTCGGAGCTTCTTCTGGAACTAAACTGAATTCAGTTACAACTGAATTTAGTTCAGTTTAGCTCCTAAAGCAAACGTTAAGTTTGTGAAGAAGCTCCCCAGCATGTGGAGGAGTTCGAACTGAATTTAGTTCCTGAAGAAACTCTCAACGCGTTGAGCGAAACGTTGGGACGTCACTGAGCAAAATGCGATGTAACCTGGAAACACAAAATGTATCGAAGAGCTGTCCAGCACAACCGTAAAATCCTACGCAGTAGAAACCCCCCCCCCCCCCCTCCTTTCAACCCTTTGCTACGTCCATTGTGTTTTTAATGTGCATGTGTATCCCGTTTGGCCCCTCCGCCGCCCTGTCTCCCGGACCTCCCATTGTTGCTCCATATCCGCTCATCCCATCTCGCCGGCAAATAAAACTCTAATGAAGCTACGCTTGGGAAAAAATCACGGTCACCCGTGTGCCCCCTTACCCCCTTTCCTCCTTCCCCGTACACATGTGTGGCGTCGGTGAAATGTTTTACAAGCGACGCTGACACTCGATTCATTTCACCTGCGCGCATTTTTTTATTGTTATTACGAATACCAGCAATAAAAAAAGTGAACGGAAAATAAAAACTTTTTTTAAAACACCAATCGGTTCGTTGCGACGCGATTCAACCGCAGCGGTGGTTTGCGCTCGGGTGTTTGTGGGGTTGAAATATTTCTCAGTAAAGTCACGTAGGGAAAAAATAAATGATAATAAATTAAAATAATAGAAATAAGAGATGCCGCGATAATAAGGTAATACCCATCGCTTTCAAAGTCCCTCCCTCCCCCGTTAACTTGTATTTAAGAGCTCGTCTCTTGGAATTGTGCCTCACTGGTTACAGTAAATTTAGCTGTGACGGTCCCACCTGATGACGGAGACTTGTGTTGCCTCCGAAACGTCGTGATTTATAATTTTTATTATTTATATTATTTTTAATATTTATTTTTACCTACGTGACTTTACCGAAAAAACCTAAGAGTATGAATCCTTGCAGTCACGAAGGCTTCAAATCTAGATTTGAAATATTTCGTGAGATTGTCTCTATCCAGCTGAAGCAGTGGCGTGGAGAGGTTGGTCGGCAATTGGAGTTTAAGGTGACTTACGGGTCAAGAGGTCAGAGTGCTGAGCTGGAACTCCAGAGATCCTGGGTTCAAGTCTTGGTTTCATAGACCGACTATAATTTATATTCTTGGTTCTTTCGGTAAAGTCACGTAGAAGGGAAATAATAAAATAATATAAATATTTAACATTCTCACGACGTTTCGACTGCAACACAAGCAATCACCAGGCGTGAAATCCACAGCAAGAAAAAAAATTATAACATTTTTTTTCTTCTAATTTTCTTGCTGTGGATGTCACGCCTGATGATGATTGCTTGTGTTACAGTCGAAACGTCGTGAGAATTTTTTATTGTTTTATATTATTTTATTATTTCCCTTCTACGTGACTTTACCGAAGAACCAAGAATATGAATCCCCGCAGTCACGAAAGCTTTAAATCAAAATTCGACTATAATTTACTTTGCTTGTACGTTCTAAGGTGGTACAGCAACCAAAGCGTGATGGTGGCTATGCACTCTTGTGATTCGTTGTGCATTGGAGGCGAGGGTAGGTGCGTCCAGTAGATATTTGTGAAACTCCTGGACTCCTCACGCATGCCCCTTCCTCCGTCATTATCGAGTGTTGCAAGGTCCATATTGCGGTTCGGAGGGGGGGGGCGCTGTTTCAGAGGTGTCCCTCTGGCCACGCTGCTAACCAGGGATGGAGGGGAATTACGCTGATGTGGCACTCATGCCTGGCGCACCTTGTTACCTCTGAACTCGAAAACTGCCTGCCTGATTCTATCCCATACTCGCACGTGCAGACACACCGTCGGCAGTCCTTCGGGGTACGAGGATGATGTCGAGGTTTACTGGTGGCTCTTGAAGTGGCTGAGGAGTTCAATTCTGGTAAAGTCACGTAGGTGAAAAAAAAAATAGAATAAATTTAAATAAAATTATAATTCACGACGTTTCGGAGGCAACACAAGTCTCCGTCATCAGGTGGGACCGTCACAGCTAGACCATGATGCCAGCACACAATTTACGACTTGTCTCGAGGGACCACAGCAGTATCGATATTTCATGGACTCCAAAACGTCTCGTTACACTCAGACACGTGCGTGTGTGCGATTTCTTCCCCATCGCCGAGCCGTGAACCGTGTGTCAATGTTGAGAGGTGGTACGTGGACTGCAGGAGCACATAAGAAGCACGCTGACAACGAAACATAAACCCACCCGCACCCCTTTACCACTTGCACATTCGAGTCGTGGCCGTGGCCCTGCCGAGCCCTCCGCCAGCAGCGGTGCGAGCAAGCCGTTGCAAGGCTGCACCTTTATCTAATTCCGTATCTATAATCAATACCCGTACCACGCTGACGCGCGCGCGCGCGTGCGGCCACGTGTCATTTATCTCAGGCATTGCCTGTCCCCGATATCGTCTCAGATGCGTATCGGGTGTTTGTATTCGGCGTTGCAACAGCCCTTGTCACCCATCAGGTGTCCTCCATACGTGAGCGCACACCGTAACGATGAGCGGCCGTTACTACACGGCTCTGTGCCTCCTCCAAACCTGTCACGTGCTCTTCCACCTCGTGCAACTCCCCGACGCTCTACCGCCTCCTCTGCCTCCTCCTCCTGCTGCCCTTCATCGCCACCAGCCAGAACGCGTCGCCAACAGCCTCGTGCCGGAGTCGAACTCGGCGCGCGGGGCTCCGCGGCTCGAGCGAGACGACCCCCCGCCCGCCTACCGGGCGATGTTGCGGGCGTGGGGGGAATGGAGGGCGATGGCGATGATGGAGAGCGCGGAGGAGAGAGGGGAAGAAGAGAGGCGGGAGGGGGAAAAGATTCACGGGAAGTCGGCGCGATGCCCCGTGCCGCCCCGCGAGCAGCAGCTGTGCGCGCTGCGTCACTTGGCCGATGACAGCGGCACCGAGCTCCTGGACGCCGAGTCGCCGTTACCATGGCCGGGAGCTTTGCCTGCCCGCTCGCTCGCTCGCTCGCTGGAGGCGGAGGGCAGGAGGTGGAAGAGGTGCGCCGTGGTGGCGAACTCCGCCTCGCTCCTCGCCGCTGAGATGGGAGCCGAGATCGGTGAGTGATCAGCCTTGACATCACGGAGGACGGGGAAAAGGTCGAGCAGACGCAGAGCGGACAGCGACAAACGGCACGATTGACGTTGTGAATTAATAAGAGTTCGTATATTTACTGGAATGAGCGAGGTTGTGTGTGGGGGGGGGGAACTTGGGAAGAGAAACGATGTCGAGGGAATTTTAAAGCGCGGCAGTGCGAGAGAAGAAGCAGACACACGTGTTGTGACCTGGCAGTGTGGTGAGTGGGTGGGTGAGTGAGTGGGTGGGTGAGTGAGTGGTTGAGTGAGTGAGTGGGTGAGTGGTTGGGTGAGTGAGTGGGTGAGTGAGTGGTTGGGTGAGTGGGTGGGTAAGTGAGTGAGTGGGTGAGTGGGTGGATGTGTGAGTGGTTGGGTGGGTGGTTAGGTGGGTGAGTGGGTGGATGTGTGAGTGGTTGGGTGAGTGGTTGGGTGAGTGGTTGGGTGAGTGGTTAGGTGGGTGAGTGGGTGGATGTGTGAGTGGTTGGGTGAGTGGTTGGGTGAGTGAGTGGGTGAATGAGTGAATGGTTGGATGAGTGAGTGGCTGGGCGCCGCTCCCTGTCATCACGAGCCTATTGGTCCGTGCTGTTTATTACTCGTCATTATCGATCTTTGTATTTGTGTGTCGACCACGTGCAGATTCCCACGACGCCGTCCTGCGATTCAACACGGCTCCCACCACGGGATACGAGCGTCACGTGGGCAGCAAGACGACAGTCCGCCTCATCAACTCAATGGTGACGTCATCCCCCGTGCACTGTGATGATGATGATGGATGATAATACTTTTATACTGGTAGGAACCCACTGGTTCCACCAGCCCACAGGGGATTATTGTGTCCGTCCGTCGTGCAGGGAGGGGCTGGGTGTGGAGGGAGGGGCTGGGTGGGGAGGGTGGGCTGGGTGGGGAGGGGCTGTTCACCCCGTGGTGCCCTTATAAAACTCAACGTTTAACCTACTCACGCCGGCTTGTGCCCGCCCTCAACGTCGGGCATATTTGCGGAATACACCACGCCGCCGTTGACCCTGGCCATTGACCGAGCAACCCAACGTTCCTTACCAGCTCCCTCCGCAGGACAATGTGTTTTTACGAAGCGTCGTTCACGCATCTCAAAACGCCGCTTGATTGAACCACGGTCAAGCGGGAAGGCATCCAACACCGGCACCAACAGTTGGCAAGGCTTTGTGGTCCTATACTCGAGATGTTTGACCAATTCTATAACGAGTGTTTCTACAGGGTGCTTCAAAAATAAAATATCGACACGTCTGAGAATTTGCAACAACTCCACGAGAAGTTAGCCGCCTCTGGGCTCTGGAGACCACCTGGAGAAGATCCCAGGCACGCGTTGACAATAAAGGCGAACAAGTGGAGACGCATTTTCTTGGTTCTTTCGGTTTAAGTCACGTAGAAGGGAAATCATAAAATAATAAAAATATTAAACAATAAAAAAATGATCACGACGTTTCGACTGCAACACAAGCAATCGTCATCAGGTGTGAAATCCACAGCAAGAAATTTTTAAAAAATGTGATTTTTTAAAATTTGTAAAAAAATAATTTTGATTTGTGTTCAAATTTTCACAAAAAAATTGAAAAAATCAAAATCTAATTTTTAAAAATGTTCTTGCTGTGAATTTCACACCTGATGATGATTGTTTGTGTTGCAGTCGAAACGTCGTGATAATTTTTATCGTTTTATATTTTTATTATTTTATTATTTCCCTTCTACGTGACTTTACCGAACGCACCAAGAATATGAATCCCTGCAGTCACGAAAGCTTTAAATCAAAAATTAAGTGGAGACGCTTTGACTTTTTTAAGCTATTAACATCACATTTGTTATCACGTAACAGCGTATTATCCGTTATTTTTCCATTAAAACCGACAGTCTCGTGTAAGCGTTCAAACATTGTATTTGAAGCACCCTGTCGTCGAGGTGGGAGTAGAACGAAGCATCTGCAGGAAACCCACGAGTGAGAGGGTGTCGGTGGGGGGAAGGGTAACACGCAGTCCGCCTACACATGGATCGTAACCCACTCGCTGGAAGCGCCATACCCCTGGCAGGCCGGGAGATGGTGGTCTCGTCGTTCCACGGGTCGGGAAGTTTCACACCTCCACCGTGCTGGGTTACAGGCCACGTCCGGCTGAGCCACGTGACCCTCGAGACGGGCTCCTTGATCATCTTCAGCGGAGGTGCACAATATTGTGCATTTTCCCAATTGTGTAATTTACGAGTAATGAAAGTTGTTGTTTTTTTTAAGCAGGAGCCTGACGCCTGCCACAGATGGGATACTTGTTGGCGAATGACGTCACGAGGATGTTTAACATCCACCCTAAAGCATATTCTTAGGTTTTTTTCGGTAAAGTCACGTAGGTAAAAAATTAAAATTAATAAAAGTTACATAAAAATAGAATAAAAATCACGACGTTTTGGAGGCAACACAAGCTTCCGTCTTCAGGTGGAACCGTCACAGCACGATAGCTGTATCAAGTGAGAGCTATTTTACTTTTATTAATTTTAATTTTTTACCTACGTGACTTTACCGAAAAAACCTAAGAATATGAATCCTTGCAGTCACGAAAGCTTCAAATCTAGAATTAACACCCTAAAGCAGACAACGCGCGCAAGTATTATTATTATTATTATAATAGTGGATACTCCCGCAGTATTAACCAGGGCAGCCGCTGGGTTCTAACCACGAATCCTCCGCGCCAAGCGCTCAACGCCCCGGAACCCTCTCCGTGATTCCATTGCTAACAGCCGCTCAGTCAATCCACTGCTGGCTGATGACATCATTGCTGTACGCACTTCTCATCTAATTCCATCTCTGGATTTCTTGTCTTTCTATCTTTCTTGTCTGTCATCTCGCTAGGGGTTCATATATTGAAAGAGCCTCCCCCCCCCCAATGAAAATATATTCCTGCTTTTGCAACTCCCCTCCCCCTGCCTTCTCTAATGGACCAATAGCCCCCCCCCCGCTCCCATCTCGTACGTGGTGACCCTTGCCATGATCGAACAGGTGGTGACGCGGAAAAAGTTTAACTTCCACACGGACCCGCTCTACAAAGACGTCATTCTGGTTCTGTGGGACACTCCTCCTCCCAACTGCGACGTGTCCTTGGTACCGACTCACACACGCGCAACAACAACAACACGCGCGCAACAACAACAACAACACACACACACATTGCCACGTGTAGCCTTAGCAGACTTTTGGGGCGTTGTGCTGTTAGCGCGAGTAGCATCACCTATGAAGGCCGGCACGGCACACGAGAGGGTGGGGGGCCAGCACCACGCCCGGCCGCCTTTGTCTCCCCAGTGGCAACGTTTACACATCGCACCAGGTACTCGTTTGAGGCTGAGTCGACCTAGGGGAGGACCAGGACCGATTAAAATCATCGTCACTGGTGTTGGCTGTGAACAAGAATCGAACTCGGTTCGCCAGGTTCATAGCGCAACGCGCTGACCGCTTCACGACCGCTCCCCACAACACACAACACACGCACGGCTTAAAATTTGGTTCTGCACTTAATTTGGCTAAATTCCACGTCTCTAAATGTTAATTGTTACTGTGACTATCACGCGACGACCATTGCTCTCACGAGACGCGAGAGGGTGGAGAATGCGACGTCCTCCGCTGTTCGTGGACTAGAGGTCCCCCCTTGTAGAAGGGATTTCAGACGTAGGTCTGTGACATCCGCTTCCGCGAGCAGTTTGGTAGATCTATGACTGGATTCATATTCGTAGGTTTTTTCGGTAAAGTCACGTAGGTAAAAAAAAAATTCATAAAAGTAAAATAAAAATAAAATAAAAATCACGTAGGTAAAATTTTTTTTTTATAAAAGTAAAATAAAAATAAAATAAAAATCACGACGTTTCGGAGGCAACACAAGCTTCCGTCTTCAGGTGGAACCGTCACAGCACGGTAGCTGTATCAAGTGAGAGGCAACAAAAGCTTCCGTCTTCAGGTGGATAGCAATCGTGCTGTGACGGTTCCACCTGAAGACGGAAGCTTGTGTTGCCTCCGAAACGTCGTGATTTTTATTTGTATTTTACTTTTATTAATTTTAATTTTTTACCTACGTGACTTTACCGAAAAAACCTAAGAATATGAATCCTTGCAGTCACGAAAGCTTCAAATCTAGACTTACGTCTGGATCAAGCGTCTTGCGACGCTCAACCGATAGCACGATCGGCGTGACGTCACACAGATTGCACGGTCCGATAACAAATTGTTGGTGTTTGTCTTGAGCCAACTTTTTGTTACCGGAAATTGGTGCTGATATCGATTTGTGTTTGTGCACTGTTTTCTGCTGCAATGCGGTTGCTTTCTTAATGATCTGTGTTTGGTTAATTTCAGTTTGGTTTGTGCCATGGTTTATCTTTGCTTCGTTGCTGTGCTTTGCGTTTCTGTGGTTTGTTTGTGGAGTCTCAGGTCCGTCACCTTTTCAACTTGGACTCTCCTGGTATCTCGAGCTATATCACCTTGTTAAACAAATACACTTGGAGGTGTGACTTGTCGGCCCAGGGATTCATCAAGAAGATGAATCCCTGCAGTCACGAAAGCTTTAAATCGAAATTTAATTCCTGCAGTCACGAAAGCTCCAAATTAAGTTTGCCCTCTCTTCCACCCCCGCCGCCCCCCCCCCCCCCCGTTCCACAGTGGTACCGCAACAGGAACGCGCCGTTCTTCGACGCCTACGTGGCCCATCGGCGCCAGCGTCCTGGCCAGCACTTCTACCTGCTGCACCCTCGCTTCGTGCGCGGCGCGTGGGGCCTCGTGCAGGAGAACCTGGGCATGTGCCACGCCCGCCAGACCCCCACGTCCTCGGGGTTCCTGGGTACGAGGACGCGGGGATACGACAACTAACACCGACAAAATAAACGGTGGCTACCGCAGGCCAGAGGTCGCAAACGGGTTTTGATTACTTACCCATACCTGTACCCGGCCGCACCAGGGTCGCAAACGGGTACCCGTACCCGGCCGTACCCATACCCTACCCGTACCCGGCCGGGTACGGGTAGGGTACAGGTATCGGGTGCCTGATTGCGACCTCTGGGATGAAACTATGTTGCAGGCGCGGGTGGGTTGATTCTAAGAACTTGAATTGTGAGAAGAGACCAGACGTAGGGAAATGAGTGACAAACAGTTACTCACCAGTGACTCACGGTCTACCCGTACCCGTACCCGACCGCACCAGGATTGCAAACGGGTACCCGTACCCGTACCCGACCGGATGTGTAAAAACTAAAAAACTAAAAATATATATTTTGTTACGTGGAGAGACATATATGGAAAGTAGTTGTGTTGCCTGCCGATTAACTTTGTCCCCATATTTACTTGCATTCGTGTGGAGACAAGCGTGGGCTGGCATTCCACCTGCTTGCTCTTAGGTTTCTTTCGGTAAAGTCACGTAGGTAAATAAAGAATAAAAATAATAGAAATAATAATAGAAATAAAATAATTATTTTACTATATTGTATTATTTTATTTCTATTGTTATTTCTATTTTTTTTACCTACGTAACTTTACCGGAAAAAACCTAATAGCATGAATCCTTGCAGTCACGAAAGCTTCAAATCTAGATTTCCACCTGCATCTCAGCCAAACCACGGCTCTTAACCCCCCTTTCGCGCCCGATCAAGCCTCGTCTTCCTCAACTGCCCCCGCAGGCGTGATGCTGATGATGTCGTTGTGCGAAGAGGTGGACGTCTACGATTACATCCCTCCGCAAGGACGCGCCTCCCGCCGTTGTCACTACTTCGAGCCGGGCGATGACCCGGCGTGTTCCATGGGGGGCCGTCACCCCATCACCAGCGAGAAGTTGTTCGCGCTGCGCCTCTCCGCACACGCGGCCGAGCGAGCCTTCAGCAGCGGCCGACTTCACCTGCCCGGCCTCAACAAGCTCACCTGTCCACACTGACCGGCCTCACCTGGTCCACACTTCGCTCCGTGAACTCACCAACCGGTTAAATCTCAGTTAATCCAGACACGCCAGCCTTACATCTACTCTCAGCTGGTTCCATCAACCAACCAATCAACCCACCTGCCCTTTGGAACCTCAGCCTGCCCACACTTAGCTCTGTGACACAGTAAAGCAACCATTTGGCGGCAGGGTGATGGCACAGAGGTAACGCTCGTGGCCTCACAGCAAGAAGGCTCCTGGGTTCGATTCCTGACTCGGGCACCTTTCTCTGTATAGTCTGTATGTTCTCCCCTGTTATGGATGATTGTCTTCCCACGTTCTTTAGTTTCATCTCAGAACTATCGAAAACATCATTGGTGTTAGCCATGATACGCCTCGATGCTTATAACTTACCTGCTAAAGTACACAATTGGGATTGCATATAACATCATCACCCGCTACTGCCAAGAACTTGGCAGGACCCTCCACAGAAAGAGTCTTGATCTCAGTGAGGCTCTCCTCGTAAGCGATCATAACTAACCTCATCTGCCCAGATATCTGCAATCCAACCAACCAGCAATCATGGTGGACACTATTTATGGTGGACACCACACATGGTTGTGCACTGCCCCATGTGTCCTTGGCTCACGAAGTAAATGGGCACTAGAACAAAAGCTCGGAGAGGTGAGATCAGCGCATTGAAACACATTCCTCCTGCGGAGGGAGCTGGTAGGAACGTTGGGTTACTCGGTCAATTGCCAGGGTCAACGGGGGCGTGGTGTATTCCGCAAATATGGCCGACTGTGAGGGCGGGCACAAGCCGGCGTGAGTAGGTTAAACGTTGAGTTTTATAAGGGCACCACGGGGTGACCAGACCCTCCCCACCCAGCCCCACCCCTCCCACCCCCCACCCAGCCCCTCCCCACCCAGCCCCTCCCCACCCTCCCCACTCAGCCCCTCCTCACCCTCCCCACCCAGCCCCTCCCCACCCTCCCCACCCAGCCCCTCCCCACCCTCCCCTCTCCACCCAGCCCCACCCCTCCCATTTTTGGATGCACGACGGACGAACGCTCACAATAATCCCCTGTGGGCTGGTGTAACCAGGAGGTTCCTACCAGTAAGATCTGCGCTGTGGGATGTTCCAAACCGGAGATGCAATTCACAACTCCCGTGACGTCTCCCATTGACTCCAATTAAATGTGTAACCTCAGAACCGAACGACCTAAAAACGAGTGCCATGCAACCAGTGGAACGGTCTTCGACGAACGAAATGCAACGGTGTAAGGAAAACTCCTGGTGTGGGTGACAATAAAAAATGCTCCGTGGTCGATTTGCACTGTAACTCTTTATTTATTTCACGGATTGTCGAGCAATAAAAGTGCCGCGGTGAGGAACCACGTTGGCCTATAGCACTGGTCAACACACTTTTTCTGGCACAAGGTATTCCAACGGTTTGAAGGTAATTTTGGGGTGCTGATTCCAAATCAGTTTTTGTCTATCACATCAGGTTTTTGAGATATCAAATATTGCATTTTCAATAAAAACTGCAAAAGAAAAATATTAAATAAATGTGGATATCTACATTAAATGATATTATAAACACACTATCCTAAAAATACAGCACCATATTTTAACACTAAAGCAGTCACTGACTCGCAACAACTTGCAATCATAAGTGACAGAGTTAATTTCGGGTAAAATCAATGAAAATGGGGTATGCCGATAGCATAAAAATGAGATGTGATAGAGCAAATCTGAGATCAAATTTGGAATCAGCACCTTGAAATTAATCTAAAACAGCTGCAAAAGTCCAGGCCAGAAAAAAATGTTTTTTGTTGTTGACCAGTGTAATGAATGTCCCACCATTGAAGGTTGCGGTGAGAATCCGCGCGGCAACAGTGAAACGCACTGCGTTTCCGAACGGTGCGTTTCAAATCGGCAAAAACAAAAAGAGCCACAGCCCGCATCGATTTCAATACAAACTGTCGTGCCGGATGCACAAGGCAGACATGCAAGTGCTACGCGCTGTTCGGCTGAGTTTTAAAGACGCAGAGCACGATCCATGTACGATATGTACCTCCCGAGAAACCGTGTGTTCATGTATTTGTTGTTCGCCCATTCGACCCTATGTGGAACATTTTACGGCTAATGATGTGGGTCTTTGTTCGGGCGCTTCTAGACGGATGTCGACCCCTTCGATCTAGGAGTTACATGATCCCAGGCGCCTCGACACAATCCCTGTGAAAAAAGCGCTTCATATCTCATGGGATTCCTCCACTCTAAGTACAGATGCTGGTTCTGTATACAGCCGAGAAGGAAAGAGACGTGAAACGAAATAACGCGATCTGACCCAAAAAACGTTATTATGATTAATGTTGGTCGCGAAAGCCTACCTGTTAAACAAACTAAATTGATGTATTTGCCTGCATACTAAGGGTGGGGTCGCAGTGGGCGAGGGCCATATCTCAAAACTCATACTCATCATCATCAGCAGCAGCTATGTTCAATCTACCGATGGATGAAGGTCTCTAAAAAGCCGTTGCTGTCTCTCGCGAACATTCTGCACTGCAAAACAATACGCCTAAGCATGTGCACGCGAGCTGATGTTGTAGCAGAAAACATTTATCAAAAAGTCTATTTAATTAAGTAGAACGTGTTGTCTATATTTATTTAAAGCTGCGCATGTGACGTCACATTTCTCAAACAACCCCCCACCCCCTTGTCACACATCGTCACAAGTGTCTGACCCCCCCCCCCCCCCCTCTAGGTGCGTGACGTCATTTATCGACGGCCCCATACTCCAAGAGCCCAGGTTGTAAATGCAAAACAAGACGCGACCTTTTGGGTGCTGGGAATCCTTTGAGGAAGCCCACGACCTTGGACTGCAGATTCGTGTACCCTGCATTTAGGGCTGCCTCGTCCTATTGCCCAAGAGTGGTGCGTACGTGAGGCCTTGTACGAACGGTCGTAGTGTTTTCTGCTGGGGTGGGGAGGTCAATTGGATACACCGTGAGCGGTGGTGTTCACGCGTCCACGTCAGCATTTGGTGGCACGTACTGCATGCAAGTCGCGTACACTCCACGCGGTTAAAGAACACGATGCATATTTAAACAAGGACTGTGGGACTTGGCACTGGCAAACATTCATCACGCTATGCAAACTAGATTGCACAATTAAACAGGTGACTAAATATAGCTCGTCATATCGACTGAGACCATGGCAACGGGCTGTCTTGATTTTAATAACACGTGAACGCTTGGCCAACGCAGCGTGGCATGACACACACACACACGCTTAACCCGAGGGGGAGAGGTGTGGGAGGAAGGTTGATGGTACACGAAGAGATCACGTGTGATAGACACAGCCCCCTGCAGGTATAAGGATTCACATGTGACACACCCAGCCTTGCCGGTGTAGTGACTGACTTGGAGACACTGAGAGTAGGAGACACCCTGTTTATTAACAGCCTTCACAGTTCACACTTTAGCAACTACGGTTGCCAGTCAGGGCAGTTGGCAGACTGCCTGACTGGCGACGCCGAGATGGCGAAGACGGCGACAAAGACTCCAGCAGCACGACGAGGGGATCCCACTCCACACGACAGCCCTGAGCTCTCGCTCGGGGCCTCCTTTTATGCTCCCAGCTCCGCCCCGGCCACGCCCTCTCTCTAGAACCTACTAGCGGGATCCTGGGCTTCCCCCACGTGCCCCTTCTGTAACCTTTACCCGACATCCCTCTCTCTCTCTCGTCTATCACGTGACCTGCTGTCAGTCAGGCCTGCTGTAACTGCAGATCCCCTTCCCTGCCAGCAACAAGCGCTATGCTGCTAAGTGACCGATTCTATGTCACTGCAACGGTTATAAGGGTTCACGTGTGATACACCAAGCCTGTAAGGGTTGATGTTTCAATCTCTTCGAGGTATGAAGGGGGCGAGTAAATTACCGACCTCGCCAAGACAGAGCCCACGGGGCTCGCTCACAAGCGGACGGTTCACTGCTGGGCACAGATGAGGGTTGCCAACTCGGACTGCAGCTATTCTGGGATATTTTTTGGCTATCATGAATAATACGTTTTCTTAAAATATCCCATTTTTTAAATCTCCCAGAATGCATTCAATAGAGGAGCCACGGTGGAAAGTTGAATAACCACCCCGCCTGGTAAACAGGAGGTAGTGGGTTCGATCCCTACACAAACGGCTGTATCTCTGTAGTTTCCAAGTTCTCCCCGTGGTCGCGTGGATTTTTTCTCCGGGCCCTCCAGTTTTTCCCTCCCACATTTAGAAACACGCGTTGAAGAGTGTTTGGCTGCTAAACATTTCCACGTGATAAGCCACTTCGTTGAGCGATCATTTGTGTCCAGGTCGCTTCTGAAAAAGATCGATATAGTTCCGTGGGTCTACCTGGTAAAATATAAATAAAAAGTTTAGTTTCATACAACTAAAAGTTAATTTTGTTTCAATCACTGGGGGGCCGATGCCAATTCGGTTAAAGACTCACGGCCTATCCGGAAGGGTGAGCAACCCCCAGCGCCGACGTGCCAGTCACAAACCCCCAACGGGGACTGCGAGAGTAGGCCCCCACCAAGGGCAGGACCAGTTGTGATATATTCTTTGGTTCTTTCGGTAAAGTCACGTATAAAGATAAAATAATAAATTAAATTAAATACTAGCATACGACGTTTCGATTGCAACACAAGCAATCATCATCAGGTATAAATTAAATAGAAACACAAATCTAGTATACTTAGAAATTTAATGTAATACAACAGAGAGTCGGATAACATAACAGTCAACACCCTATCTGGTTGATTATTATTTTATCTTTATACGTGACTTTACCGAAAGAACCAAAGAATAATTCTAGATTTGAAGCTTTCGTGACTGCAAGGATTCATATTCTTAGGTGTTTTCGGTAAAGTCACGTAGGTAAAACATTAAAATTAATAAAAGTAAAATAAAATTAAAATCACGACGTTTCGGAGACTTGTGTTGCCTCCGAAACGTCGTGATTTTTATTTTATTTTACTTTTATTAATTTTAATGTTTTACCTACGTGACTTTACCGAAAACACCTAAGAATATGAACCAAATAATAATTCCTGCAGTCACGAAAGCTCCAAATTAAGTTGTGATATAATTTGCCACCGATGTTAGCCGTGGCCGGGAATCCAACTCGGATGGCCCGGTTCATGGCGCTGCACTGTAAAATCACTGCATTGAAGGTCAAACATTTGCGCCGTAAACAAGACGCCATTTTCTTTTACAACCTTGTGAAAGAGAATGGGATGAACGCAGCCGATGGTGGCCTATTTGCATATTTATCAGGTTTTTTTTATTTTGCAATAACTTCAACACGGCGTGAAGTCGATAAAGAACCAGATGCAGACAAAATCGTCGCGTCCAATAACCGCATCACGATCACAGGTGGACACGTCATAAACACCCAAAATAATGTCGAGGCCAACGATTGGACAATAAAAGATAGAAAAGACTGGAAGATAACTGGGGGGGAGGGGGCTACATGCTGATAAAAGAAAGACAATATCGGCAACCGTAAGGAAACGAAACGTAAGATAAGAATTGTTTGTTGCGGGACGCAATAGTGCACATTGCAACAGTGTAAGTATGCAGAGTTGGCGGGCGGTTGTTACCAAGCAGCATTTAAACTCGACCGCCACAGCGAATGATACGTGGAGCACTAAACCTCGGCAGGTAAGGTCAGTCAGGCAATAAACGCAAGAACACAGAGCTGAATGGAAGGAGGGTTGTTCACGGGCGAAACAGACATCGTCCACCAATCAAAATGCTGTCGCACGCGGACGTGATTTTCTTGTTTGAAAGATTACTTATTAACCCATCTGTTGATGCAAGGTTAACCCTATTAAATAGTACACACACACACCTGTGTGCAAAGAGGA